TTCACCAAAATGTAATTTTCAACTTAGTGTATTCACTCTATTAGCCATATAGTGCAACTTTTGCTCACTTTTCAAGCAACAATTCTTTATGGATTCTTTTGATTTTTATATGATATACATAGTATGGAAGCACATTGCCATTCCCCCCCGTCCGTCTGTTCACAATTGGCCCATGATCACTGATTTGTAATCAAAGCTGCTGGTGGGCCTATATGTCACCTTGCTTTTACTTTTGTATGGTTATAGACCTATCTGGATGCAAGGGATCTTGAGTTCTCTTGTCTAGAGTTTGTAATGTATTGGAAAGAAACATATATTTGCTACTTGGACCTTGGAGAGGAAAGATTTACTATACAACTAATTAGTGGGCGAATTTGTATACTAAAACCATGCAAATTTTGTATAAAAGAACAATTATTACAAAAGGTTTGCCTCCTTCGTGCAAGGCAGGCATGGTCTCTCACGTTTATGATCAGATTCAGATCATCCTTCAATTGCAGATGTTCAGATCAGAAATTCACTATATTTAATCATTCTTCCAGTTTAAATAAGACATTGTCAGGATTTATTTTTGTTTTTCCGCCTTTCTTTAGCCTTCTGTTTAAACCTTCTATCGCGGAGTCTTTGTGATAATTTACTCCAAATTTGGACAGTATGTGCAGCTAATTGAGGCACAATAGAAAGCACGTAGGTAAAGAATTTGTCTCGTTGATTTGATGGGATATCCCTGGGATAGGGACACGTTTCCCACAGCCCACTATAAATTGAAGCGTCCTTCACAATACTGCTGAAAAGTCGCTGGACTATTGCATCTCGAGGGTTCAGAATTTGGTCAGCTGTGTATGATGACATCACAAACATGGTATCTTTATTGAGAGTCAGATCGTTATCACTTATCACTGAAAATAAAAACATTCAAACTTTATTTTATTTATATAAACCACTTGCTTATGCCATATAATGATTGGACCATGGATTGCTGCATTGGACTTGATGCACTTTTAGGACATACAGAAGCTTAGTTAAAAGTCTTTTTACTGGTTGTTACAAAGGGGTTTCTTGTCCTGAATCCTGAGTCACCTGCCCCTACTTTCTTAAGCAATGAATAGAAACAATGCCCAGTTCAGTCAGTGATTGATTTGTTTTGATAACCAGATGGTGACATCACTGCGTTTATTTAGTTCTGCCTAGTTTTGGATTTTGACCGACACTGTTTATCCAACCTAAGCTTGATGACCCTTGCTGAAAACTTGAACTTTTCTGCAGGTTATGCCAGAAAATTCAACAGCCCTGGTGCTGCCCCTTTTGTACTGTCATCTCTGTTTCTTTCCTTTTGATCAAATGAGACGGTGTAAAGACAATGGCTTTTGGCAATTTCTAACTGTCAAAAGATAATCTGCACAGTCTAAAATATTTCACACTGAATAGTTGAGATTTTATTTCTATTTTTTAAAACAAAATAAACAGATTTCTAACCATTCCAATTTAATTTAACTACAGATGATACAATGATAATAAATAAATCTTTAAACTGAAAGTGTCCAGAAAAAACATGCACTGCTGCCTTCATATAAACAAGTAATTGGTGAATTTAAAATCACCATTTTTACCTAAAAACAGTTCAAAGAAAAACCATGCTAACATCAACATTTAATTTGTACAATGACTATGAACATTGATCATAATACATGTTTGTTTATAATGAAAGAGGGCCCTGAATTATAAACATGTATTCTTACATTTATAAACTAAGTTAGTATTTTTTTGCAGTTAAAATGATAAAGAAAATTTTTGATTTAATTAATAACATTCAGCTTCTAATTGAAACATAACCAGAAAGTGTTGATATTAATTTATACTGGCATGTGTGCTTTCTATTGAAATGCATACAGTTAATATCAGAAGATTAAACATATACTTATATTATAACTATATGTTGTTTAGAGCATATAACATTGAATTTCTTGCCAGTACTAGGTCAAGGTAAGGTGAGCAACACATTTGTTCTGGGAGGATTTCTCTTGGTAATCTATAACAGATTGCTTTTAAACATGGTATAGAATTATCAATGCTGTATGTTCTTTTCATTATGACAAGAACATTGTTTCTTGAAACAAGTTGCTGGGTATCTAATGTGTTAGATCACATGGTCACATAAGGACAATGCAAGTCTAAACTTTTATTAGCCCCATAACTAATACTATTCAATGTCAGGACTTTCCTTCTTAATTTTCTTATCTTTTCTACAATAATTGATCATGCGTAATAAACTTTGTTCTTTTGGTAGCAGAGATTCATCATTATTACATCCTTTAACCGAGAGAGCTCTTTCAATAACTTCAGATGGTGGAGTAAACTGATCATTTAAAGCCTGATTTCTTGCCTGCAAATAAAAAATTGCTTTATTTAAAAACTAAGTATGAGCTGAAATATTGTCAAACTGTAGATATTTACAGCATATTTTAAAGTATAACATCAGTGCTCTTATCTCAAATCATCAAGTGCAAAATGTTTATTGAGGAGATTTGATGTTTTTGTGCACTAAAAATATTTTAGTGGACAAGGAATACTGATTTTAGGATTGTCAAAAACAGCATCGATGACATAGACTCAGATGCCAGTGAGTGTGAATACTTGATTCCTTCAGAGAAGGATAATAAAGCTGAGTCTAAATAAATTTAGCACAAATTTCTTTGGTACTGACACAAATAATGCCTTATACTCCACTGGTTATATAGTATAGCTTTTTGCTAATGAATACAGCACTATAATACAATAGTAACTTACCTCAGCTCTTATAATGGTTGAGGTCAATAGACCCGCCTCAGCATCATGAACATGTTCATGTTGACCTCGAGTGAATGAATCTCCTCTCTGAGCTACGGCTGCCGGACATCTTCTTGTTTTACTTCTCTTGGAACACCACCATCTTATACAAGCATCTGTTTGCTTCTACAATATACAGATACATCATGTTAAAACAGAAGTTAATTTCACATAATCCCACCTTCAGATGATTTTTATGTTTGGATTTTTCAAACTATTCCGATTGTTGTTTTTGTATATGAAAGATGTGTCCAAAGGGCAAGATTTGTTCTTTCTCAAAATTTCAGAAATAATTATGCTAGAGGACAATAACTACAGTGCCCCCTGTGAATTACCATATCTGAGTATTACAACCATCTGAACAATTCGGCATGATCTTTTAAGTCCTGATTTCATTCATTAAACCATTTTATAAATGCAAACTTCACTTAAACCATGCTAGAGAGGTAATTTGTAATATATGTACTAACCCTGAGAGTATATCTGTACCCTATATTATCAACTAACATTGGTTTTCCTTGTTTAGTTCCCATTTCTACTATAGTATATTCCACTTCACTTTCTTTTACCTTGTCATTGTTGCTGCAAATAAAATAAAGAATAAATAAAGTTTTTCGTTCTATTCTTAGATAGCGTGTGCTGTAAAAAAATTATGTGCCAGTATTTCTCCGAGATTGTAAAATAAATTTATTTGTACATCACATTGTATATGTTGTTAATAATTTGAAAATGTAACAAAGTTGCAACAGAAGAACAGAAATAGATTTGACAAAATCTATGTATATTCCTATCGTCTTGACTGGAAAAGTAGATCAAGAAGAAAGACAATCAATTTCATTCAATTATGTTTGGTCCAGATCATCAGATGGACATAAACATGGACATGGACTTCAGTAGACAAATCTCAGGGTATGTCTTGGTGAAAACTTAGCATAAAAACTACAAGTACCTGTGACAGACAAAGCTTAAAGGGATGGTAAAGAGGTTTTCTAAACTTTTTATGAGTATCAGGGACACTGATAGATCTACACTAATCTACATTAATTTTAATTAAGGTATATTCAGATAAACTATTAGATATTAACTTACATAGTGCGTAGTAACCTTATATTATCTTCTGTAACATCATATTCTAGAAAATAATAAATACGGTGTGAAATCAGTAAGTAACAACTATAAACTAGTAAAGACATCATGGCTTATAATACATTAAAAAAATCTTTGGACAACTTACTCAAAACTATTCAAACTTAGGGACTATAACAATGGAGACATACTCTATCCCACCATAAACATTTTAATAAGCCAAATCTCTACATTATTAGACCTCTTGCAACTATTGATAGATGAATATAAATACTTTTGTTAATATTTTGCATTCGTAATAGAGAACTTAACCAACCTGATGGATTATCCAGTGTGATTCTGTAAAATGTTCAGGAACGCACAATAAAAACCAGCGCACATTGGTTAGATCTTAGTACTATTTCATGCATATTATAAGTAAGATTTATCAAATAGACATCTATCAAAACTTGCAAGATGAATAATATTGGTCATCCAAATGTTTCTTTAAAAAGTATATAAAGTTTGCAGAGAAAAAAGATATCTATTTTTATCTAAAACAGTTTGGAAACCATAACTTAAGTGTCATTCAGATCAGGTTCTAGAGATCACTCTTTTCAAACAAATTTGACAGACAGTTTACATTTTTCAGTAGACATGTTCTAAAATCTTCCTCACCATTATTCTCAGGTTCATAATTAGTATCAGTATCATTTAATGACTGGTTATCTAGAGCTGATTCACTAGCACCCTCATCAAGAGTTGTGTCCCCTTCCATATTTATATTACCAGTGTAATAGGCCTCGATATTGCTTTTACAATCATCTGTTGATATTACACATAAGGTAGCTTCTGTAAATAAAAAATATTGCAGTAAAAAATTGACCTCTTTACTGTTCAAAATAACAACTTTTATTGGCACAGAAATTAGGAGCTGGCAGATATAATAACATATGCCCCAAGGCCCAAGTTGCTAATTAATTTAAAAGATATCTAAGGAAAAACATACTGATGAAAGCAAAGAATGTTTTGGTCTTAATTCAATCATTTCTTCCAATTAACAGATACTATTAACATTATGTTGCACAATAACTTATAATGTATATTACCTGGATTGTCTGGGTCAAAATAAAACTCAGGAACATTGGATGTAACATTGGATGTGCTAGCTTCAGCTTCGGTTTTAATGACTTGAAGATGATTTATATTCGTGCCCGAATTCTGGTTTTCAATTTTGGACCCCTCCATATTTTCAATGGTTAATACTTGCTCCTCAGTTAATACTTGTTGGTCAATTGATGCTGATCCTGTCTCACCTTCTGTCAAAAAATGTCTGGATTGTGATTCAGGGTGATGCTCTGTGAATGTAACACCTAAAGAACTATCCACTGAAATGTCATCTAACACTTCATCAATAACAGCGTCACCTTTCATATCAAATGATTCACAGAACTTCATTGACTTAGCAGGACTTCCAAATGTTTTACTAGGTGATGCTTTCTTTTTCCTAGATCTAGGTGTTCTAATCGGTCTGTCTTTTGGTTCAGCATGAAAGCTTTCACTAATAGAATTAACAAAAGTGTCTTGTTTTGAACATTTTTCATTCACTATATAATTCAATTTTTTGTCACTGTCTATACTTAAATGTAAATGTCCAATTACTTCAATATTTTGACTGAATGGAATTATTCCATTGCAAACTGTTTGAATATTTTTCACAATGGTATTAATAAATACATTAGTCCAATCAACATCAGTTTGTCTCACATTTCTTTCCATTTTGAACCTTTTCTGATTATCTCATTCAGATTATTGATGCAAACTCTTTCAATCTTTCAATAACATTGATTCATTCTGAAACTGAAACAGCTAAAATTTTAAATTTGTGCTTCTCCAGTGAGATTTTACCAGCCTTTTATCAGCAACAGGCAAAAAAACATTTTTTAAGGTGTTTTTAACACTAAAACTCCTGCAAGCTAGTTTGCAAATTGGTGTGGACACTGGTAGGCTATGGAAAAACAATGTAAAAATCTACTAGAATTTTAATGTTTAATACAACACATAAAACTTGTATACAATGGCCTTATTGCAAAAGTGTATGGAAATAAAATGGGTAACCGTAAGTCCATGACAGGAATAAAATTGTGTATGCATGCACTGGGACATCTTCATGATGTCGCGCAATTACGAACTTCGTCTTATACCTTGATTGCAAAAACCACCTTACTTGTATCATGGTCTATGGAATTTTTTTGGCCTAAATACAGCGGTTTGATTGGATAGTAATAGTAAGCAAATACAGTCAATCAGAGCTCTCGAAAAAAAGTCGATAAACAGTAAACCATGTTTACTATCTTTCTGTCAAGGGCTCTGATTGTATTTGCTGGCGTACCATCCAATCTAAATGGCTGCATTCCGTGATAAAATAATTGTGGCTATTGCAGTCCAAGATATAAGGTGAAGTTTGTAATAGCTTGACATTGTGAAGGTGGCATTTGGACACGGTCCTGTTTGTGTCAGAGCAATGGTTATATTTTTTTTCACAACCCAAAAAGTTACTTCGATGTAACAATCGATCAACCATTAAGATTCAAACATACCAATTGATTGCAAAAAATCATACAGTCTAAATAATCAAGGCCCCGATAAAAATGGCACAAAAATCTTTATATAATTTCAGATTTGGAACAAAGTAAGAAATGAAAAGAAAATAGGCTACCGGAAGTAAGGTTAACTCTGCGGATCATTTATTGCATTGAAAATAACAATATTGTGGAATTTGGTTATGTTATCAGATGAAATAACTTTTCTACAAATAATAGAAATAAACAATTAACTAATCACATGTAAATGTTTTTAGTGCAACAGAAATGATTCTTAATTCATATGAAAGACAATGATTACTCCTGATTAAAAAAACAAGGAAAAGATAACTATTCATAGTAAACATATCAAACCACAGCTAATTTTTTCAACAACTGAGGCTGAATTTTCTTCTGAAACAATTAAATTTCTATTAGAAGGTTCTGTTATTTTTCTGGCTAAATTTTAATAAGGTAAAAGAAACAGAACGTGCCGCTATTAAAGTAGGTCTGAAAGGTGGTTTTGGTTTGTGTTCACATGATTATTCATGGATAGCACTAAATGGAAACTAATTTTCAAAATAAATCCTTAGGTTGGTTATTTGTTTAGTGAGTTAACTTTCTCTTCTATAGCCCTTTTTTCTAAAGTAGCTGGCCTGATAAAGATTTTTTTATTCTGACAAACATGTCAAGAGCATAAAAAGAGCTCTTTAAAAACAAAATGATCTTTACAAGAATTTTTTCAATAAATAACAATGATAAATTCAATAATAACAGTGATTTCAAAAAAATGGTTGGTATCTTCGCTCTCATCCATGCAGCCTTTTTAGTAGAGTAGTCTACAGTATACTAAATAATTGATCTATACAATCAAAAAGTCATACTTGGTAAAAGCCATGTTTATTCTCCTATCCATGATACACAAATCAAAATTATCTCCTTTTCTTAGGCTCAAGATGTTAACATGTTTTTGGCTTAATATTCACTCTAAATGTCACCGATATAAGTCTCCATAACAATACATTGAACACTAAAATCAAAGCACTATCACTGCCCCTGAAGCACCATTAACCTACATGATTTATAGGACAGAATTTACCACGAATTCCTAAAGTATTTCTTTGTTGAGAATTTCAAATTATAATTGACGTAAATTTATTTCAGGTACTGAGGGAAATCAGTATCAATAGGGCTGTTATTTTATCTGTATTTGCCAGTTATTTCCAATTAGGAGCTCTAAAATGACTGACTTAAATTATGATCTTTGACATTTTCTATGCAAATGTGTTAGATTTTCTGCATTTTTCATGTATTTTGAATGGAATTCAGAATCAAACTTTAAAACAATGTCCATTATTCTCCATCTCCATAACATTTTATTATTTGAAAGGCCGATAACAAAAAGCTTCCATTTAAATCTTATCATTGAGATTCAATTTCAAGATTCTCAACCTTCACACAGTCCGTTCGGGCTTTCTTTTTTGGTATCCCTCCTTCACGTTTACACTGTCTATATCTGTTGATCATTCGTTTTAAATTGGAAGTTCTTGGTAGAAATGTTTCATCTTCTGATTTTCCTTTCACTGTCATTGCTCTCTGTACGACTAGTGATGTTGGTGTAACTGGATCATTACTGGCTTGAGCTCTCGCCTAAAAAATGACAATAGTTCAAAAAGATTATTAACAATATGATTCAGACTTAATATTTTCTCAAAGGTGTACAGATTTAATACAATAATACTTTGTTTGTTGATACATGTAGTGTCTTTGATGAATTTTTATGCATTTTGGACTTTGATGTGCTGCCTTATATTAAATATTGGCATATAGCCTTGCAATTCATACATTGATCTCTATTATATAAGAAAACAGTCTAATTATATCAGACAACAGTCTAAATTGTCTCTGTATATTATGGTTGCATTGATGTGAATCTAGTTTTGAATAGTTTGCATTGATGTACAGCCAAACATCATTTTGTGTATTCTGAAAAGTGTCGTAGATGGTTGAAATGAAGCATTATCAGAGAGTAAAGCAATGTTCTAACCTCTGCTACTATAATGGTTGAAGTTAATAAACCAGGTTTTGGTGGATGACAATGTAGATGTTTATTTCTCTTAAATTTGTCGTTGCACTGAAGCACACCTGCTGCACAAGATATCTGTTTATTTCGTAAAGAACATGTCCAGTGAACAGTCTTGTCTGTGTTTCTCTAAAAATAAATAAATAAATAAATAGTTAAAAACTATGTAAGACCTTAGACTTGAAAGATGTTTAAAAGTGAGGAATACATATCATAAATAAGACAATATTATGGAATAAGCAAAATAATCGCTAATAAAATCATAAAACACATAACTTTTAAACACAATTTACAAGTGTCATCATCAGATGTATGTGTATAAGACCTCTAAGGGGTTTTATTTTATTGGCTTGATAGTATGTGATATTGAGATCAAATGGTAGTATTCCTGGAAATACAGAATCCACAGATTGAGACAGTTCTCTGCATAAACCTTTGATAACATTCAAAAGCCAAACAACCCTTTAAACCCCTTTTAGCCTAAACCCAATACAGTCATTAAAGACTAGATGCAACTGTAAATCTCTATCTAGAAATCCAAACGTTACATTTTATACAAAAATCATAAAAGTACAAGCTCTCTCTCAAAACTGACTGACATGATGTCTTAAAGAATATACCAAATAAAATGGGAGTAACACTTAATATTTGAATCGGAACAAAAAATTACACTTTTCTAAGATAATGTAAATAGACTTACTCGAATATTATAACCAAATCCAATATTGTCTATTAGCATTGGTCTACCTTTCTTGGTGGCCATGTCAACAATGGTATATTCTATTCCATCATCCTCTTCATCTTGATCAAAGTAACTATAATTAGGCCTACATAGAAAACATTGATATCAGGCAATAACTGTTAAAGGGAATCAAAGGAGGTTTTCCAATTTTGTGTCTTGGGAACTCTTATAGATACTACGGTCCTTGCATTTTTGCCTTTTTCCATCCAACATGGTTGTTGTGATTGGCAGAATACAAAATCACCACTCAAAGGGCTTGAACAGAATTGCCAATCTCATATCATATTCCAGTCAATTTTTTCTTGAAATACAGAAGTCAATCGGAAAACGGAATGGTGTAAAAAGAAGCTATGAGTATCCCTAGAAGACTAAAAAAATCTTTGATTTCCTTTAGATTTCCTATGGGCACCAATGACAGCCAAGACAGCCCAAATGTCCATGGATCTATTTCCTTTGTCAGTTAAGGTTGGTCAAATGACGAATCACGATTGGGATGATACAAAGCCATCAGTCACTGATGCAGATGGCAGACAATTGTGAGAATGTACATACTTTAACAAATCCTTCTTATATGGCTCATCAAAGTCTCTTTCTCCAATTTTAGCTACTGATTTACCTCTTTTCCTGTGAATAATAATACAATGGTGGAATGAATCAAAAAGAATTCCAGTCAATCCAATAAGATGGAATATAACTTCATTCTATTTTTCCAAAGAGCATTGTACAAGTTACACCTTGAAAAGCTGAATTGATTTTCTGTATCTTTTATAATATAAAGCTATTGTAATACTATTTATAGATTTAGAAGTGGCTTGAAAAATGTATGTATGTAAAATTATGCATTCAGAGTCTGATCATTAATCACTTTAAAGGCCATAGTTCACCATTTTTGGAAATTGATTTGGGTCTTGAATATAGTCTCCAAAAGTACTAGAATTGAAATGTCTATACTTACTTGTTAACACTTGGTAATTCTGAAACATCTTAAAAAGAAATAAAAGATTTATATAGAGGGAAATGCTAATTAAAAAAACATAATATTTTATAATTACAGTAATGATAAAAATCAGTTAAAATGTCAAAAATACACCATTATTTGGCTGTAGTAGATGTGTATTCATGAAAAATGCAATTGACACAAATCTTGAACTTTAGGCCAATACATTGAAAGATCTTACCATTTACTCTATATGTTATATTGATTTCCCCAAAACCACAATCAGTAATTTGATCATCATCAACATCTTCATCATCAATAGCATCCTCTTCTTCATCATCATCATCATCATCATTTCCTGGAATTTCTTTCGCCTCATCTATCATGTCAACATGTCCTGGGTCAGCATGCATTCTCTCCATATCATCCTCATCTGAAATAAAAATGAAATGAAATGGTTTATTGTCCTATCCGAAATGACTATACGCTTTTTCGATGTTAGCCCTCTTACCTGCATCTCTGACAGGGGAAACCGGTTGAAAATTTTGAAGGTATTATCTGGGGATTGAACCCTGGACCTTCAGGTTAGCGAGCAAGTATCTAACTCACTGAGTCACCGCAGCTTCCCTCATCTAAAATAGGCAACAACATAAATGAAGGAAACCAATGATTTTGTTGATGAATCAGTCTACCAGCTGGTCCAAGGTCGAACCTCTTGGCATTAATCTTTTTCAAATTATGTCTACTCATTGGCAGCTATTATATTATATGAATATGTATACCTTGTAAAGATTTCTGGAGATCCTCATCAACTATTTGGTTACCATCATCATCTACCATACTTTCAATCAATATATTACCTTTTTCATATTTCTCTCTTTCTGTTTGTTTGACTGATATATCTGTTTCAGCTGTCCCTGTGAGATGCTCTAGTTTTACAATCTCTACAAAGTTTGATGAAAAAGAACTCTACAAATTTGACAAGTTAAAAGGATGCTTTGAGCACTTTAATTTGTCTTTTGCCAAGTAGCATGAAATTATTATGGCTTTTCACTGAAATCAAACTTAATATATCTTCTATATTAATTAACTGAATAAATGTGAAAAAGAGCACCTGTTAGAATGTCTTGCATATACATACAGTTCTCTACTAAAAATGGCCTCCTACCTACGAATGGTTGATTTTGTTGAGCTACTGCCATAGATGATTCAGCATTTTCATCAATCTTTCCAGCATCAGACTTTGGCACTTTTTTCACTTGTACAATAATTGAAGAAGGAGTCCCTGACAAAGGCTTATTGTAGTTCGGCTTGCCAATTTTTTTAACGTCATCAATAAAAAGTCTTTTATTGGTGTTCTTCTTCGCAAATACAGATTCCTTGACAGGGACAAGATTCTCTTGCAAGCTTTCACTGGTATTTGTGTCTGCTGGCACCAAGGATGGAGCTTGGAAACTGAGACTTGTAAAAACTGATGATGTGTTCACTTTATTACATTTTTCATTTAAAAATAAGTTCAGATTCACTCCTCCATCTAAATGTATACATACATGCCCTGTTATTTCTAATGATTGTTTAAACTGTAAATGGTCATGACATAACATCTGTAAATTCTTTACTAATAAATGAATAAAATTGTCTTCCTCCATGTTATAACTAAGTAGATTTCAAATATACGTATGTGAAGTAAGGGTTAATGACTTTGTTAACAAAGAATACTGTAATCAAACCTGAAAAAGGTAAGTAAGATGAAAACCAATTTTAAAACCAAAAGAAATTTATAAATAGCATTTATTTCATCAGGTGATAGAGCTCAATTTAAGCCTGAAGACTTATCAAAATGAAATCCAATTATCCTGCACGTAAACAAAATGCACTATTGAAAGTTAGTGATTATGTAGAGAGCATAATTGTATAATATATTGCCCATATCTCATTTTTCTGACATTTCTATTTATAAGCGAATTTCACTTTTTATACCACTCAATCTCTACCGAGAAAGGAGAACACTGTTTCAAGTTGGTAAATTTATTTTATTTGGCAATAATTTTCCACATCATTTATTTCTTAGTTGATAAAATCTACATTGACTTGCAGGAATCAGCAATCAGTGGACAATTCTTAACAAAAATTTCTTTTTTGCTTAAAACATTTATTTAAACTATTTCACACTAGTTCTATCCATAAAAACAAAAACTCTTTTTTTGGCAATTTGACAGTGAGTGAGATCCAACTTTACTTTGAACAAAATGGCGAAACGACGCAAGGTTGGAGTACGACGAAATATATGACGAAACATCCCACTCCACTCGTTCGCTATCCTTTGACTTTCTGTCATTTTATGATCTCCATTCTACATATTCAAATAAACAATACATGAAAGTGATGATATTCAATCAATTAAAACTATTTCAAACATATAATTTCGATGCAGAAGCAGGAAACTAACCTTGTCTTTTCCGGTACATTGAGACAATTCGTAACCACTTTGAATATAAAAGAAATATCACGTGAGAGGTTACGTACCTTGTTAAAGTTTTCCCCGAGAAACTGGTGCTCAAATAATAATTTCATGAGTGAACAAATTGAAATAGGTAAAAGTACATAAAAAAAAAATTGGAATAAATAAGTGATAGAGACCCTTTTTTTCCTTTTTTGCAAAATGATTTTTGTAAATGAAATATATCCCATGATTTTAATCCAAACTTTTTAAGTTAAATGTAAGAAACTATACTACTAGCCCAAATGAAAATTATTTTAAAAAAATTTCCCTTGCCTTATCCATTTTTTGTAGATAAATTAAATGAAGACAAATCCCTTACATATCCAATTTATAATCCATAAACAAGGTTTGGAAGTAATGAATACCTCATACAACCACCCATACAGTATTAGCCTCAGCTTCCAGCAAATAAAGGTCATGTTTGTAAAGAATGGGTACTAAAAAAATTTTTTTTAACAGAAATGAGTTTGTATATGTTTATTTAAAAAGAACATAGTTTTTGTAATTACGCTAGTCTGTGCAGTTAGTGGTGACGCAGTTTATGGGTATGGGCAGACTAACTAAATTGGAAGACAATTGTCAAGGTTAAATTATATTTTCTGGGCACACATGGATTTGAAAGGCTCAAATTTCGACAGTGAGCTGTGATTACTATTACTGTTTAGCTAGTGAATGGTAAACCTGTCCCTTTAATGAAACTGTAGACAAGAAGATTAAAATAAGCATTAAGTAGGCTAGCTTAGATCAAATAATTACATCATAATATCACTCTGAAAATAAAAATTCCTAAATACACTGATACAATTTTTATTGTGAAGTGACATGAAATAATTTATCATGCAGTATCGGGCAAGATAATAGTCAAATATTCATGGTCTTCCTCCTTTTCACCTTTTAAATCACCTTCAGTCAGCCGCTTACGTTCTCGACACCTATAACGTGATAATAACCGACGAAGATTTGACTCTTTTGGTAAATTTGCTTCATTTCCTCCACCCACAGATAGTGCTCTAGCCACAATTTTAGAAGCTGGAGTTTGAAAATCTGTCATGGCTTGATTTCTGATCTGAAATGATAAAATAAATCCACCCTTTTATAATACAAAAATATATCATAAAAAAAAAGTGAAATATAAAAAATGAACTGTCATAATTATAAGCCACATCTGCATAGCTGACAGGTATAAAAAAAAAAAATTTTTAATCTGCGCTATCAGTTAGCTGGAAGCAGGTGTTAACTTGTCATCTATACAGTAATAGAAACAAAGTAAAATGTAATAAATTACCTCAGCATAGATAAGAGCTGATGTAAGTAGTCCTTTCTGAGGTGCATGTAAATGTGCCCTATTACCAGTAGTAAAGGATTCCCCATTCTGATGAACTGAAGCTGGACACAGTAGCTTTTTATTTCTTTTTGTGCATCTCCAAATCCCAGAATCAGGCACTTGTGAATCATCTGAACCAGAATGTTTTATCTTGATAGAAAAAAATGGACATTGAATAAATTAATCTAATGGATTTAGTAGGTTTGGAAATAATGCTTGAACACTTTATACTATGTTATCTTAATTCTACACCAGGTCTCAAGTTCAGAAGAAATCTTCAGATCCAAATTTGAGGTGTACAAATTTTTATCTGGATATTGAGATCTTCCATAAAATTTGTTGTAGGTGGAGAAAACGAGCCCTTTTGCATCTTTCACAGAGTGTAAATTCCTAGTAAAACAGTTCCATAGAAATAGCCTAAAAGGAAGCAAATGTTGTAAAAAAATGCCATATGTCTATAATAATCATAATCAAACTGAGTTAAAATAGTCCTATGTTCCAAGACTATATCTGGAGGTCCCCTTTAACTTTTACAACAGAACTACGTGGAGTGGCTCGAACTGTTACTTTCAAAGGTTGGAATTTTCCCCCACTATAAATTCCAAACATGAGTGCAAAATTTACAAAATTTACAAAAAAGAATATCTGATGAATAAAATGTATCTTTATTTAGAAATGAACAACATAAACATTGATGATATCTGTAAGAAAGAACATAAGATATTGTTGCTATAGCAGATAGCATAGTGGTCATTTTTACAATTTCAATGACAACAAAAGCACAGAAACGGGCTTTATAAACATACTCAATTGTCAAAAATTATGTACTAAAGGGATTGTAAAGAGGTTTTTAAAATTTTATATCTGTTAATGATAGAGATTTTTAAACTTGTTGACTGCAGATAATTTGTAATTTGAGTAAAAATGTTGCTCAATAATCTGTCGTCAAAGTTATATTCAGAAAATATCCCCAAAAATCACAAACTCTCTAATGAATGCCCACAAAAAAATATATAATCATTAAATTAATGATTTAAAAATTAAAAATAGTTTAACAGAATCTTTAAAATTAATAATCTTAATATCAGATTTCCATGCTAATGTAACCATGACACCATGAACACAATATTGGTAATGTAGTGACTTTCAAATATTAAGCTACATTTATTCATTGGCTTTACACCATGGGGTGAAAGGGCCAGATATGAGACAGACAAATTGACCAGGCTGCACTTTATAACAATAATAATAATCTGATCCGATTTTCACTCTCCAACTTGCCACGCTTTTATTGAGATGTTGCCATTCCTAAATCAAGAAGACGTACTTTCTCAAATTGTAGCTTTCAATGGTTGTACCTGAATAATGTAGCTAGATAGAATTTATCAGGGTTGCCAGGTCCCTGTCTATGACCTTAAGTAAATTCACAGCCAACTATGGGTTTTGCAAAATGAGGAGAATTCCACAACTTGTGCCGTGCCAACACTGACATGTACAGCTATCGATTCTCATAATACAGATCATGGTCAAACAAACATCAAAGTCATTACCTTACATCAATAAGGTCACATCGATTTGCAAAACTTTTGTGATGATATGCATGTTGAGGAACATTTCTAGTGCCAATAAATGCAAAAGCATTTAGGATTCCATCTCGAGGACCGCAAAAACATTACTGGCACGCAGGCCATAGGTTGCCCACCCCTACTCTGTACACAATGTCAACCAGAAACAATTAAATTTTAGGTCATGGTTTTATCTATATTTCTTTTTCTTTCATGATCATAACTTATTACAACAAATACAAGCTTCATTTATTATCATCTATAATCTTCATAGCACGCTGAGAATTTCTAAAACGCTGTAGCATCCTTCTTAGGTTGATCTCTTTTGGTAGAACACTTTCATCATCATCTGCACCTTTGATTGACATGGCTCTAGCTACTATCTGTGATACGGGTGTCTCAAAATCCAATAAGGCTTGATTACGAATCTGAAATTATAAGTTACCTTCATATAATAATCATGCACAAAAAACAAAAAAACATGCATGTTATGAATTGCTGTATACTAACAGAATGTTTTAAGGATAATGTCTTAAGTACGCTAATAAGCAATTCATGTAAATTTGTACAATATCATGACCATTTGTACATGTGACAATTCATAAACCTTTGTTAAAAATTTGTAAACTAAATAATAAAACAAAACAATTTTTCTCGAAATTAAACTTTAATAAACTTTGACCCACAATATATATTTTGATACCAATAATTTTCACAGGTATTAAACAGGGAGAGAGAGCCAGTATCAAAGTAACGAATCATTTCTCCCTTAGTACAGATTTATCAATGGCTGTTAAAATTGTTGATTTTTTCATTAATGTCAGTAAAGGGAGTAATCTTTTTTCTATAAATTTCCTTTTGTCAATGAAAGATTATCTTAATTCTTCTCATACAGATAATTAAAATACAGAAAATAAACTGGTGTTAAGGTGTATTGAGAAGAGTCTCAATGAAAGCACTGGCCTACGTCTCAGAGTGCATCCCTTGAGTTCTTCTCATGCAAAAACCAATGCAGGAAATAAACCTACCTCAGCATAAATAAGAGCAGATGTTAGCATTCCACGTTGAGGCGGATGTTCATGAGGGCGAGTTCCTGTTGTAAAACGATCTCCTTTTTGATAAACAGCAGCTGAACATTTCATATTTTTGTTTCTTTTTGTACACCGCCACAATACTTTTGCTCTGTCCAATAATTCTGCAGGTTTCTGTTTTGGGAAATAAAAAAGTGTTTTCACTTCAAATTTGTTGAATAGTTTGAAAATGAAAACGAAGCGCAATATCAATCGGTGATTGTGGAGACATTTCAGTAGTATAAATAATCAGTAATAACTTTGTGAAGGAAATTGTGTACCGGTAGATCTTATCACGGGCCTTATTATCAAAAACTTAACTAAGATATAATCAAGATTTTAAGAAATCTGATTGTGATTGGATAAAAAAACAAAAGTTAAAACAGAATTTAGTGCTAGGCCAATCAGATGACTGGAACTCTAAAATCATCATAAGTTAAGTTTTCGAGAATAAGGCCTCTGATACATAAAAGCAGAGCAAGTTTTATCAACAGCATTTCAATAAAGTTTGATGTATGTTGTCAAATTAAAGGTATTTAAAGATGAGCTAACAATAATTTGAAGAGCATTTAGAATCTTGATAGGTTTCAGTAATAATATAGACCCAATTACATTCTAAGAAAGTAAACTAGAAAGGAGAATAGTAATCTACAAGCTTTAGAACTTAACTTCAACTTTTGTTTTTAGAGTTTTACAGACTGACTGACTGAGTGTTGTGTTGTAGATATTGTAGGACAAACTAACAAAACAAATTAAAGTCTAAAAGTTTACAACTAAAATAATCATAATAAATTTGTTCATTTAGATAATTTATGTCAAAACCTTACTGGTTTTCTTACATATCAATAAATGAAAAATGATTTTATTTTTGTATAGGGGTTCTGTAATAGAAATGCAGGAGTATGTTTGGATGCATCTTCACAATGTCAAGCTATTACGAATGTAATCTTATACCTTGATTGCAATAACCATTATTCCTGCATCACAGAATGCAGCAATTTGATTGGATTGTATGCCAGATAGTACAGCCAATCAGAGCCCTCAGGAGGAAAAGGCTTTTAACAGCATGACTTTGTGTTCAGACTTTCTGTCAAGACCTCTGATTGGCTGTAATCGTTTGCGTACAATCCAATCAAATCACTTCATTAACAAAATCTTCCATGAAACAAGAATGGTGACTACTGCAGTCAAGGTATAAGAACGAAGTAATAGTTGCGCAAAGATAGCTGGGTAATTCAAATCATAAACACAACAAGCCGAAACGGTTTTAGGTTTATTGAAGTTATTGAAACTATACAAGCAGGATTTATATTATATATTATTTATGCATTATATATCGAAAGTCAAAGAAACTGCTTGTGGTTTTGTTTTGAATCATCCCAGGATTTGCACATATATTTCTGCTCAACTATCATAATTCTATTTCACTTACTCTTAAATTATAACTGTAACCAATATTGTCCACTAGTAATGGTTTGCCCATCTGAGTACCATATTCTATAATAGTGTATTCAACTCCATCATCAGCTACTGTCTCTTCTGAGAAAGACACACTACAATTTGTAAAAGATATAATCTTAATCTTACAAAAACAAAATATTTTCAATTTTAAAACAGTGCTCAATACATCAATTGTAGAGCAGTATAGAAATAGATTGCTAAAACAGAAACCGAAACATGTTGTGTTAGATGATGATGAGAAATTGTTACTGATACTCTGTGCAATCTTCAAACAAATGTTTTAACAATCATTGTACTCATCATTGTAAAGGGATTCAATCAAAGTGATGAGTACCGTACATGCTTGATGGATCAAGATAGTTGAAAGTTACTTACTCTGACATAAATGATTCAGTATCATCTTCACCTTCGTCCTCCTCATTTTCTACAATTTTAAATAACAACATCAAAATATTTTCCCAAAAATCAAATATTCAAAACCTGGTTTGTTTTATTTCAATCTGATTTAAAAGGAACAAAGATATTTGTGCTCATCTAGAATTCAATATGACATAAAATGAAATAGAGTTTTACATCCCGCCCCTAGGTTAATAAAGACAGGCAATGCCATGCAGTGTTCAAAGAGGGAAATATTGCCACAAACGCAACATTATCTTATTTTGTGTCGAGAGATCTTTAAAATGCTCATTCTTTAACATATAGGGCCTTATTTATTTATTTCCCATTTAAGAAACTTTTTCCATGATAGACCCTCCGAACTGGACCATTGATAGGAATATAGGTATTAATAATTCAAACTGGTGATATAAAAAGTGCAATTGTCCAACCTGAAGCAGGTTCATTTACAGCAGCTACCATATCATCTGTTTCTAGATCATCTGACTGCTCTGCATCTCCTATAAATATACAAATATTATAGACTTTCCTTTCAAAGAATAAAATGCACTATTTCACTAGTGGTTTCTTAATAGTATGCTCACAGCTGATTATTTTACTGAATCTAGTTTTGTCATTATATAAGCTTATATGGAAGAGATTCACCAAAACTGATTCATTTTAACAAAACAGAATTTTCACTTAAGCTTTGCAAAACTCCTTAGAAAAAAATTATTGGCAAAAAACAACTTTCTCCTTGAGCAGCGGGGCATCAAAATGTAGCAATGGTGCAAATCTTTACATAGAAATGTACCCTGATGTACCGTACATGGAATCAATGAACTGTAAGAATAAATAACAATGATCGCCTGCTTGAGAATGACTACAGAAATATTTAACCCCAGAACATCATTTAAGCTTACACAATGTTAACAGTTGATATTATCATCCAGCAACAAAATTCCCTTAAGTTAAGTTATCTTAAAGGAATTGTAAACAGGTTCTCTCAATTTTTATATGTGTATCAGTATACTAATAGCATCAATTTGCATCATTCCAATTTTCAGTCAGATATCTGTGGTTCCTGAAATTCCACTAAAACTAAGTGTTTGATGACGTCACTTATCACAAATATGCTTTAGCGCATTAGGAACTTCACGATTAGTGATGTCATCAAACAGTTTTCTTAAGTCAAATTACACTTAAAAATTTTAGAAAACCACTTTTCAATCCCTTCAAATTCTAATTCTTAAAATCAAGCTTACCATGTGTATCTGTTGATGTTGAAGGAGATTCATTTGGGCTCTTTCGAACACTACTTAGCCTTGAACGTTTCATAGGTGATTTCCTTAATGGGGTTGAATGTGGTCTTTTAAAGGCTGGGGTTGGTAAGGGTGTCTGTAGTTCATCATCCTTGACTGGTGACAGTGTACAGGCTGGTGATAATACTGATGTTCGGTCTGGACTGACATGAAAACTTGAACTGATGGCTTTAAATTCTGAGTCTTTCTCTTTTTCACATTTTTCACTCACAATATAATTCACTCTTGAATTAAAATCCACATTTATATTCAAATGTCCCATAACTTCTACTTGATGGTCAAATGGTATGTAATGACGTAACAATAACTGAATGTGTTTTGAAATATTTTCAATAAAGTTTTTAGCAATTGTGGTATCCATTGTAAGTTATCGGTTCTGTTATATGAAGTTGAAGATGATAATTATAAGCTTTCTCATCAACTGTAAAAAAAATAATTAATACGGTACCACAAAGTTAAAACTTTGGCATATTTTAAAAGTTCATTATATACCATACTACTATATTGAATTTACTGAGATAAAATCTGAACTACATTTAGAAGCTGAGAGCAGAGAAACACACAAGGAAATATAACTATTATAGAGTAGGCTATAATAACACACTTCTTTAATATTAACAATATCTAGTTAGACCTTTTCTAGTACAAGAAGTAGGAGATAATATCGATATAAATATGTTTCTGTGAATCAAAAATGTACGTATTTATCTACAACTTGTACTTTCTTGAAGCTAGAAGTTAATTTAGGTATAGGGTATACCCTTGATATAGCCTCTTCTCAGTTTCAAGTAAAATCTGTTTTCAAAGTTCCAGTAACACTAACATGCAAAACCAAATAAATGGTACAAGGCTATTCACGAAGTATTCACCAATTTTATGTCAATATAACAGAAGAACACTTATTTAGAAAGTTATCATAATAATCAAATGCCGATTTACAAGCCAAAGGTTAGCACAATTGTAAAATTAAAATTTGGAAAGATGAGACTGTATTGCTGTATCAGCCGTGATACAAAATGGCGATACGACTCGAGTTCAAGGGCGTGTCGACACTAATATAGGTCAACTTTGAGAGGCGGATTTGCCATAGTCCGACAAGCCCAATGTCCGTTTTGGTCAAGTCTTCTGTATCTAAATTCACCTTTATATCTTGACTAAAACATTAGAGAGTTAGTTCTTGGCATAAACCGCTATTAAATCTGTCAAACACTGTGAATTAGCACTCAAATTGGTTCCATTTTCTTAGCTGTGTTCAGAAAAATGCTACACTGTAAGACATATAGCATAGGGAGCAGTCATTGTACAGTTTATTTCATAAATGTTATGCGATAAAGTGACCAATTCAATAGCGTTTTGGAATTTATAAGATCATTTTGTGCTAAACTTATGATTGTTTTAAATTACAAGGACACGCAATATATCATGCAACTTTAAAATGATAAATATTTACAGCAATAAAATGACTGGTCACTAGTCTCGCGCTGTCTCCCGCGCACGCATACCCGATTGTCACGACCTTTTCTTACATTTTTCTAAAGAAGTTAAAGACTGGTTATTCAAGACAATCACAAAACCCGGTGCGAGGACGCTGTAGAATGCGCTGAAATTTCACAACAGGAAATCAAACAAAACGAGCATCTAACAGTCTACATCCATAATAATTTTCAGCGTAGGTATTTGCAACAATTTTTCTAACATTCTCAGTATTCTAAAGCGTCACATTGATGAAAACGCATTGTTTATTTGGTTTCTTGTATGATCATGCTAATTTGATAAAACGTAACCAAAAATTTATTAGCATTTTTGCTCACCTGGTACATAACGTAACCAATAATGAAAGAAGATGATATGAACCTATAAAAAAAGATTTCCATGTATAGTATGAAGCGAATGTTAACTTGTCATCTACCTACATGTCAACATCTTTAGAAAATGGTATGGCAGTCAGAAATATATAAGCCAAGATAGTCAGAAGTCCATCTATGAATACAGTGGTGTAACCTATTATTGTGCATTGAAGGATTCAACACCGAATTTCGTCAAAGTTATAAAACAGAATGTTTTTTTTCATGTCTTAGATGTTTGCTCAGATATTTTACAAAATAATTAAAATTGGTTTGTTTCGATTTTCTCTATGAATCCCTCACCTTGACCCATATTTCGTGAGGAACCAACTCGACCACAGCGGCAAAATGTGTCACCTATTTTCGTGTACAATGTTTGATCTATAAATAAGTCGAGAAAAACGTGGTATGGATACCAGGTGGTATAATTAACTTCTCTTAGTATTTATTTTTCATATCAATTCATTATAATTAATGATAATTTCTTGAAAGAACCGCGATTTGATAAAAAATAGTGACTGACAAAATATGATACGTAGCGTGATTTATTGCTAAAAGTCATTGAAACAACATAAGAATACGGCCCACATTGTGTTCCATAGATTTTTTCTGCTGACACGGAATCCGCTAGGTGATCATGTGACACTTTGAATTCTGATTACAGCTTGGGATTATAAGGAAATTCGTTCTATAAAAAATTGTGAAGTTTGGTAATAACTGAAATCAGCCATTTTTTATTTGTCAAAGTATTAGCCGTATTAGATTATATTGAAAGTATGTAAGATAAATAACTATTAATACACCTGTATCACATTTCCTATGACTTTTTTCACCTCAAATCATGCCTTGGTCTTACAAGAATATTGCAATTTCAACACAATTCAGCAACGTTGAACAAGTCAAATTTGAATGTTATATCTACCTAAGAATAACAATGCAATTTATTCCAATGGCTTCCTGATATTATGTTAATCCATCACAATAATTGATAAAGATTAACAGGTTTTTAATTAGTTTATTATATATGTTAATTAGGGGAGGAAACCACTTAGAATAGGGGAGGAAACCACTAGGATTAAAAAGGGGTGGAAACCACTGGGGGGAAACCACTAGGGAGGAACTTATAAAGGGAGGAAACCACTACATGCCATACATTTTACCTTACTTGAAACTACTGGATTCATTCTACTAGTGACATTGTAGAGATAACCCATGTTTATCAAAACAAGCAAATGTGGGGGTCACGCAAGGTCGCACACGTAAATTATTAATCATTTCATGAGATGCACGAAAAGTAGGTTAGCACGAAATTAGGTTACTCGACAGTATATAAATTTGGTTGCGTCATATTACTCTTTATATTCTGATGAATCAAATGAAATAATATTAAGTCTAGTTAATTTCTGTCAATAGTCTTGCAGCGTTTATGTTCATGTCTATACATTTTTGTTTGGTATGTCTGGTATAGATATTATAAGCTTAGATAAAAAACACACTAAAAAAAAACATATAATTGAGCTCTTTTATTCTTTAAAGAAATGTGACTTATTTGATAATTGTGTTTTTCTTTTTCAGTCAAAATTGACATAATCATCAAACATGAATGAATCGGCTGCTTCAAATTTTATCAACTCCCTTGTGAGAAATCTTCAAGTGTTGTGTCACAGTAATGTAGAGTTTAGAAATGATATTGAGGTTGTGGGACATCTTTACTTAAAAGTTGACAGACAAAAGAAATTTAATTATATTGTGGATGAAAAAGTGTGTAAAAATGATGCCTCCTCTACAATGTTTGTTAGTAACAGTTATCATTCAGTCAATCCATCACCTAAAAAGAAAGATGGCCAAGGCAGTGAAGGCTCAAATAAAACAAACACTGACTCTTCAGACAGTGCAAGTGTTGATCCAAATCGTGTGAATTCTAAAGGAGACAACCGATCTGTGCCATCATCACCACACCATCAACAATCAGGAGATATTTATAGAACACCAATTAAAAGGGGAATGAGATCACCAGAAGTGCCAACCAGAAAACAACCAAGAATGTCAGGGGATATGAGTGGGGGTACAGGACCACAATCTTTTAGCTTCTCGCTTCAACGTGATAGGGAATCGCCTCATAAGCCTGATCGCTCAATGTCTCAAGATAGTTCTAGTTCATTTAAAGACGCTGGTGGTAGTAGTGAAGCTGTAGAAATAGACTTAACTAATATTAAAGAGGAAGTTATAGATGATAAAAGTGCTATACAAGCTAGTTGTTTCTTTAATCAAGAACAACAGCAGATGTTAGGGCAGAGCAGTGTACCCCGTAAGTATTATTTTTTTGATAAAAAGTCAGACATTATCCATTCTAATAGTTTATAGAAATATATAAACTTACATGTGTTTTAGATATAAAGCAATAGCTGAGCTCTTTAACAAGTGGTGCGATAGTGAACCATATGATCAAATATGCTGTCAAAAAACACATAAATTGGTCTTGATAGTTGATTAGCAAGGTTTCCAACAAGAGGTTATAACTTTAAGATTTAAGTTGAAAATGTTTTCATGTAATATCAGTTCTGTGTCATGACTTTTTTATAAATCATTTATTGTATTTTTCAGCCTTCCCTAAAGAACCAGGTTCTGATGACATGGGTTTATACCCAGTCTCTTTACATGCTAACGAAAGTCCTAACATAGACAACCTCTCACAATTAGCCAGTAATTTAGCCAGCGGATCATCTCAAGGAAACCCATTCAGTCAATCACCTCAACAAATGCCACAATTTTTATCAGGTACGTTGAGTTTCTTCAAATTTTAGAATGTCTGTCTATTATTATGGAAAAATTTCTAATTTATTCTCTCTTAATTGGAGCATGTTATTACTCATTGATTTTGTTTTGACTAAAGTAAAATTCTCACAAAATATCATATTTGGCGCTTGAGCCCAAGTTCAAAACTTCATTGCTGTAGCAGATGGTGCTGTAAAGATATAGGGCATGCCAACCTTTCTGATACCACTATGGAAAGAAAACCTCTGGCTTTCATAGCTTATTAGAATAACTTGTTCTAAAATATTTTGAGTCTTGAAGCAATTCCAAAACTCTTAAGCTGTAGCATGGCATGCCCAGTCATATAGATCCCAGGTAAAAAAAAGAATCTACAAAGCTAATAATGCTTTTTTGCAATTTTTGAAACTATAAAACATTTTTCCCAAACTATCCTATTTGATTCTTGAGTACAAGTTTGGAAGTTGGTGTGGCTACCAAAGAACAGGGCATGTTCTCTTATCTCTACCACTTGAAGAAAAAAAAATCTTTTAGAAATTTCTACCTTTGAGTCTTGTTACCCTGATCCAACACTTTCTTGCTGCAGCCGGTGTAGCTACTGGAAATTCTTATTAAAACAGCAAGATGAAAACAGCCATATAGCTTCTAGTGCTTATTTGGTTCAGTCCTATAAATGTAGTGATTCATTAGAAATTGTTCGATATTTCCTATAGACAGACATATATTTTTCAGTGACAAAACATTAAGACAAAATTTACTTAAAAAAAGCTATCCTTTTCATTAAAAAGTTTCATCATCCCTTTTGAGAAGACTGAGGTCTCTCTTTGAATTTTACTGTATTTTCACACACTTTGAGGGAATGTCATCAATAATTAAAATGCTCTGTTTGACGTTTAAAAACAAGAGTAACTTCCCCTGACACATTGAAATTGAGTAGTTTAAGAAAAGGTCTACTTGAAACTTAGTGTTTATGTCCAAACCTACTTTTACAATGGTCAATTGTATCAGATTGTTTTGAATATAACCAAATATATTTACTTGAATATGTCAAGATGTTTTGTCATTGAATTCATATATATTAGCAGTAACTTGAAAACATCTTGAAATAAAGAAAGAAAAACATCCAAATATTTTGAAAAGGTATTTTTTAGTGACTCTGTCATAAACTTTCATTCAAGAGTAATTTCTGGTGACTTTCGATTTATTTCAAGATGTTTAAGAATTTTTAAGAATTTTTCTCTGAATCATAATGAGTTAACAGATGATATTTTGGAACATCTATTTGGTTGGACACTCCCCTTTCTTCAATTCCCTGTGACCCTATACCATATGTTTCTATATATTTTGTTTCATTAGTTTTTCTGAGTTTGTTTGCAGGATACGGGTATGAGCATCCCACAGAATAATTATGAAACAAAATATACAGAGCAATATTTTTGCCATTGTTCTCTTATGAGTCAAGACCGTATTCCCAGCCCCAACCTTATTTCTACTACAGTAAATGCATCGTTTCTGAAGAAATGGCAGAGTCCAACTTTTTAAGATCATTTTCTTCAACTTCATATTTCTAAACTGCAATTATATTCTAAATTGTGAATTGAATGCTTAGTTCCAAAATATAAGCCTGTTAACTGACCCCTATTCAACAAATGTGGAGTAATTGTCAAGTCTGTCCAGTCCTCTCATGCTACTCATGGAAATTTAAAGACAAACTTTGCTATTCAATTTTTCATGCATATATTGCAGAAAAATCATAACAGGAATAGTCTATAAAGGTTCATTATTTGGCTTGGAAAGTATTTGAGAGTTAGTTTTAACTGGATATTTATTCTGCTGTAAGGGGGCTATATCCAATTGTGCCCACAAAGCTGGTTATTGACAGAATGCTTAAAAAAGGAGTGAAAGAAAAATTCTACTCTCAGCCAGTAGCAAAGCCCTTCAAATCTGCTTTTCAAAAAAAAAGTTTGTTTCGGCATTAAAAGACCACACCAAATTCTTTTAAAAAGATAAAAGGTCATTAAAAGCTTTTAAATATGACAGTTATCATTATTCATGCTCTTTTCCTGCATTCTTTCATAGGTCAGCTTTTAATGTGTAAGGAAGTAGATGTTTTCTAAAATTACACATTGTCCTGGTTTAATCAGTTCTAGTAGAAGCTGCATCAGAACTGTATTGTTTGAAAACATCTACCTTCTATTCATTCTGATTAAAACACAGCTCTAGATATTTCTCTTGGCAGATTCACTTTGACAAAAAATAACTCAAAAATGTTGTAGAGAAAGAAATACTTTAACTGTGTTTTAATCAGGTTACTTTATTAAAAATTCAAATCCACAAAATTTTATGAATCTTCAAATGGAAGATTTTATTGTTGTGTTTAAATTTTGTGGATTTGATGTGTGTTTGTAGCTGATAGCATTGATAATTCTTGCTGAAGTTATTTTATTTCAAAAGAGATTGATTTCAAATCACAATTTTTAACTTAAGTCAAAGCTGTCAGTTACAATAAACACATTTGTTTTATGACTCAAATTAAGGAAAGTTGGCACTAGAACTGTTAAACTGACCATTTCAGAAGGCACAAAATAAACTTTGAATAATGCTCTGTGGATTATCAAAAGTTGAGTGAATTATTGAACATGTTTCACATTTGGTAAAAAGTTGACATGAAGTGAACATCTTATTCTGATATCTGCAGAATTTCAGCTTATTATACTCGTCACATGTAAATTAACATCACTGTTGACAAATGCCACAAATGAAAAACTGAATAAAATTTTTGAACATTACTAATGTGATGGTAAACACATAATCAGGATTTCTATAAATTGATTAAAAAAAACCCCAAGAATTTTCTTTGATTTGAGTCTGAAAACATGACAAGGTAAGTAATAATGTTTTTATTATGTCCCCTGATCTGACTATACAATACAAACAATTGCCAAACGGGAAATAAACATAGACATGATGTAGTAGAAGCTTCACGTGTATCTAATAACTTCAACTTTAACAATAGAATTAAATGTAAAGTTTATCAGTAGTAGAGTCTAATTTACGTTTGTGAATATTGAATATAAGATATCTCACTCGATATGATTATGTCAAGGGTTGTATATACTCACAAAATATTTGTTTCTACTTTAAGTTATTAATCAATAATTGAAGAATTAGTCAAAGTTATATTAGTATGATTGTTGTTAGTGGATGTCCAGTTTTTTTTTAAATTCAACTTGTAACTAACTATATTACATACCAATATATGATGATAATATAAATCATTTAACTGCAAATCATACAATAATTGTTCTGTTTGAATTGTGGATAATCAATTTGATGTGCAATAGGTAGGGTCATAGTTGAAATTAATTTTTTTCAAAAATAAGCACTTAAAGTGAACACCTTGCATAATATATGTTTTTATATTAATAAAATATTAATATGTATATGGTTTTAGCAAAGTTTTGGAAAATGAGTCTTTATTTTAATTCTGTGAATTAGATATTAGATGCTCTTTTGTATGCATTAACTAGGTGAATCCTGTTTTATTGTTGATCATAACACTTAACAGTATTTTAACTCACTGTGATAAATGGTATTGTAACATTATAAATTCATCAAAGTCAAACGCATCTTGTAAATTTTTTTACAAAAGAACATTTTGCAGTAGATTATGACCATAAATTTTCATACTTAATCTGAAAGCACCTGGATATAATTATGGTTATTAGTCACCTTAACAATTTTACAATGATCATAACAAACACTCGTTTAATTCATATAAAACTTTAAAATTCATTTATTAAATTTTAGTTTATCTCTCCATGTTGTGTTTACCGTACTTTGCTCAAAACAGTGTCTCTGTGTACTGAAGTCTGGGTCTTTTTGCTGATACAAGTCTTGGATCTAGACTTGTTATTGACAATGTCAGTGACTCTATTTCATTTAATTTTCAGAACTGTTAGCCAGGAAACCTTATAAAGAGTTAACATTGAATGAAAAAGTGAAATTGATAGAATCATACCAGGCATACCCTAAACCTACACAACAAGATCTAGCCAACCAATTTGGTATAGGATCAGCCACAGTTCACAGGATATTAAAAAAGAAAGAGGAAATTTTAATTGAATATGAAAATTCTCGGACAAAACAAGCAACTGCCCATGACCTTAAAGCGAAATTTTGATCCGTTACACTTGTCCTTCTCTTGGCTGTTTTCTTTTCTTCTTTGTCTACATTTGATTTTGATTTGGTCAATAGAACTTATAGTTTTAAATATTTGATTGTGATGTGATGTTCTGAATTTACATAAATGCAGCAGTTTTGTAATTTACATAGTAGAAATAGCTTGGAATTGTTTTGTGTGCACTGGTATGTTTTATATGTGACTTTAACTCACTGCTTTGTGCAGAAATAGGATTCTAACTAGTTTTAGTATATTTTTTTTCTGGATAAACTGATACATTGTTGAAATCAAAGGATCTGTAGTGAAATGTGTTTGAATAAATTATGGAGATTTCATTTGCAATCTATAAGTCATTTTGACATAACTTAGTAATTTATAGTCATATTGCTACAAAGTCAAGTGATAGGTTAAATAGTAGTGATAGTTATGTCTGAAAACATCCTTGTCGTTTTAAAATTTTCTGGTATCATCAAACCTACCCACACATAAGATTTTGCGTCTACCTCCAATCCTCCAATTCAAAAAGAATTTCTTGGTTCAAAATAAATCTCCATATTAACATAATAATAACCTAGTGTGTCCTAGGCCAATGCTTTCAAAACACATTCAAATTTAAATTTTGCGAAAGTTTTTAAGAGCAGTAATGTTCCACTCCTGTCTCTTTCAGATTCTCTACAAACTCGAAGGTATAAAGAATTAAATCTGGAGGAGAAGGTAGAAATGATCAATGAATATGAGAATGAAAATATCTCTATGAATATCTTGGCTAAAAAATATGGAATTGCTCGTCAAACAGTGTTTAGAATAGTGAAGAGAAAAGATGAATATCTATCTACATATAGACAGAAAATTATGAAGAGTCAAACATATTAGAATATTTTACATTTAGTTGATGCAATTTCAATTATATATTTGTAAGGAAAAGGTAGCTATTTTAACTGTCTGACAAAAAAACAATTTCAGTTGCTCTTGCTGAATTAACCCTGAGGAAACACTATAAAAGGACACTTCAAGTGGTTAAGCCAAAACTAAAAAAAACAACAGTTTCATAACCTTAGGAATAAATTTCTTGTATCTCCACAAACATTACTGCATTACACACAAAAATGGCCAGAAATAGCTAATTAACAAAATATAGGTCTTGAAACATAGTACTCAAAGCCTCAAAATATTAATGATGCTAAATCCTGCCTGACTTGACTAGATGTAAAATGTAACATGTGGCACCTGATTTGTCAGACTAATTTTGGGTTTGAAACTGAAATGAATTTTAACATTTCTCGTTGATTTTCATTTCAGTTTTTCCCAAGTCAAGACAACATTTATCACTAAAAGAAAAGGTTCAGCTTATTGAAATGTATGAAAACCATCCAGAAAAGGGAAATGTGAGAATCACTGATTTAAGAGCAACTTTCAATATAGGACGAGCCACTTTATTTCGAGTTTTACAAAGAAAATCTGAATATTTATTAGAATACGAAAGAAGTCTAGAAAGTGGAATTGATTTGGACATATAACAAATGTTTCCATAAATGAATTAGATTCTTCAAGACCAAAATAATTATTGCTTCATTTTAAAGACATTTAGAATACCAGTGTGATTGTCTTTAAACTTTCGTACGTATATCAATAATTCTCATAGTTTTAATTTGCATCATAGCTATGTATGGCTCCTGTGATGTAAAAAAAAAAAGACATTTATTTGTGTCAGATATGATGTTAATATGGTCAATGAAGATATTTATGTGTAAATTATGTGGTTTTTAATTCCCATTTTTAAACCCTTTAAATGAGCTCACACACCAAAGTTGTATTTTGGAAAATGACCACACCTCCATTTTTTAAATCAGCTATGAGGATTTTTAGCGTCCAAAACATGTTGGCGGTATGATAGACAATTAAAATATGAATTTCAGTCATTAGAAGTATCTAAGCCAAACACCAAGGGAACAAAAAACAAAACATTCTTACATTTTTCATTTAAAATAAAAATGATTAACAAAAGCTAAAAGAAACTGAAGTATTTTCTGTATCTTTTCAGATTTTTTTAGTCATAGAGAAAAGATACAACTTACATTAGCAGAAAAAGTTAAAATGATTAAAATGTATGATAGGGAATTTAAGAAATTCGATCAGGCAGGACCAGCCATTAAAGTTGTCTGTGATTATTTTAAGATTTCTAGAGCATCTGTTTACAATCACTTGAAAGCCAGACAAAAAATATTTCATCAATATGAGAGGGAGATCGAAATTAAACCACGTGATCTTGATATGACTGAAGAAACTAGTGATAGTCTTCCTATGACTTTCCCGCCATAACCACCAAACTAGAAAAAGTCTCTGTGAAGCTGTGGCACAAAAAGTTAATATGTAGGGTTCTTGTTTGATAAATACCTTTAAAGCAACAATAGTACTTCAATTCTTTTTCAATGGCCTTTATGATGACAAAGCCTAGATAGTGGCTTTAAATGTCTCTGAATTTTGATCTAGAATAACAATTTGATAGACGTTAAAACACTGTATTTAGGCTGTATTTAGGATGTGCAATTCCGTTCGGATTGGGATTTTTCATGCTGTGCGTTATAACCTAAAATAATTTACCATCCTGTATGTTAATTATCGAGAGTCATGAATCATGATGTAGCATCAGATATATATATAATAAAGATGTGCTGCATATTTTTGTTGTAAAGAATTAAGATGGTTGTGATGATGGTGTATGAAAGATTTAATGTTTTTATTTATATAACTAATAAAACTTTTGTCAGATTGGTTTTTCCTTCAACTTAGATTTAAAAGATTATAAATCATATAACATTTATGTTAAACTTCAGTGAGGAATCATCATACAAAATAAAGCATTTAAAATAGAAAAGCATGTCTTAGAATCTATCAGCCCTCTTTATCGAAGTCGTTAAATTAAATAGTTAACTGTCTGAGGGCTATCTGAGTAACACACATGAAGACCAGCTTTTAGTACAAATACTTAGAATTTTGGTTAACCCCAAAAAGGGTTAAGCAGCTCTAAAATATTGAAATTTCGTTGCCTGCACAGCCAATACGACCCAGTATTAACCCAACCCCTATTTGGGAAATAATGTAAGAGTTTCGAACGATTTCAATCAATGACTCTCCATCTTGGTGTCATTTCAGATATATTGGTTGACCAACGTAAAATAATAACACTAGAGCAGAAAATTACTATATTAACAGCATTTGATAATGAAGATCAGAATAAAGCCAAAATGGATCGAATTCAAACTATTTGTAAAAAGTTTGATATTGCAAGAGCAACATTATATAGAATTATTCAGAAACGTGACAAATTGATTGAAGAATATCTTGCTAAAAGATCAATGCAACCATTCTAGTGAACATTTCATAATCAATTTGGATTTTCAAGGGTGAACATCAAGCTCTTTGGAGATTGCTAATGTAAATATACTTAGGGAAATGACACCATATTGTTACCTGTCTTGTAATTTGTTAATTCTGTCAAAATTTTGATTAGATGAATAAATATAAGATATCAATAATTCATAATCAAAGTAATTTATTATAGAAATGCTAGAAAGTGTGCACCATTTTAAATAAGCTCATATAACAAGTATCTCCCTCCTCTAGTTATATTACTGAGAATTCACTGGGAGATCAAATTTTTCTTAGTATTCCATAAACATGTTACTGTATTTTCTGCCCTCAGGACCTTGAATTCGTTCACCTGTAATTACATATCTCTAATAAAGAATTTCTGTTAAATTTCAGAAAAAGATATATTAATGTTAATGCCTAAAAGCAGACATCGAAATGATATTACATTGAAGGAAAAGATAAAGTTAATACAGGAATTTGAAGAAAGTGATATTGAGAAACCAGGGGTCAAAGTTCGCTTTTTTGCTGAAAAATATGGTATTGGTCAGAGTACCGTGTACATGTATCTGAAATATAAAGAAAGATATCTTAAACAATATGAGAATGAGAAACAGAATACCGTTATTATAAATCAATAAAATTTGGAACGGGTTAAGGTTTATATCAAGCAGAGTTTGTGAGAAAAAAACAGCTGAATTTATTGTAAAGTTTGAGTCTTATCATGACTCGTTATAAAATTTCTCTTCGACGCAAAATCGATATTTACAATGGTCAAGATATACAAACTTCTTTTAATACTTTGACTACAATAGCTGACTTTTTTGTATCACAGAAGTTTGTAAATGCAGTGATTAGATAGGATTACACACTTGTGAATACAGCCAATCAGAGCCATCGACAGAAATACTATTAATATTATGGCTTATTATTTACAGACTATCTGTAAATAAATAAGAAGTCATAATATTAACAGTATTTCTGTCGATGACTCCGATTCAAATTGCTGGATCCCTTGATACAAGAAAGGTGGCTATTGTAGTCAAGGTACAAGACGAAGTTTGTAATGCGTTGATATTTGTGAAAATCTTTAAGTATATTGTAAGTATACTGGTTCAGAAAAGGGATCACTCCATTTTATTGGTTAACTGTATCTGATAGTAAATTCTTAAATAAATGTGAATAGTTGAATTTGAAAATGATTTGTAACTGTATTACTACTATAGATAGATTAGTACTTTACATATTGGGGAGTATTTAACATTACTGAGGCTCTTTCATTTTGATACTAATCTCATGCTGTAGTTAACATTAGATCTTCCTAGAGAAATTATTAGTTATCATCACTTATAATGAAAGCACACAGTGATCTTGCAATTTTCTCTTCAATTTCAGACAAATGTGTTCAAAATACCTTAAACACCAGGAGCTGTAAAAAACTACCATTAATAGATAAGATCCGATTAGTTAACGAATTTGAAAACAGTCTTGAAAAACCAAAAGCTACGGACATGGCAAAAAAATATGGAATAGGCCTTAGTTCTGTGTATCATTTTTTAAAAGAAAAAAATCGATATTTAGAGGAATACAGGAGACTTGGAACAGAAAGTGACGATGTTTGATAACTTACACCTTCAGATTTTAATAAGATTATAATGGTATTAAAGTTTTCCAAGCTTATTGGAAGGATTGTTGAAAAAACAAGTTGTTATCCATGTGAATTATTTTTATTTCTTTTTAGTGTTAAGATGCCTAAAGACGGTACTTCTATGCAAATCATAGTTTGATTGTTATGTGAAATATCAAATTAAATCACATTTGAATTCATTTTGATAGAAAACTTTCCAACCTTTTTTTAGGAAGGATTCTTGTGATACAAAGTTGTTATCCTTGCTAACTATTTTTATTTCTTTTATTGTTAAGAAGGTTCTTCTATGCAAATCATAGTCTATTTGTTATGTTAATTATCCAATTACACTTTATTTTATTCATACATGTTAACCCTGGAATAGAATATTCAGACATTTTAACCCTGGAATAGAATATATTTTTAGTTAATAAAGTAAATGTCAATATGAATTTGTCCATAATCCATTTCCAAAATAGTAGCACTGTCATCTAGCACACAAGCACACCTTTGGCAGATATCTGAATATTTATTTTTACATCCTCTCCATTGAACACAAATTATAGCCTACTTAACAGTATTGTATATTTTCAACAATATATTCTTCATATAAAAGATATTCTACCTCACAGAATGAACATAATGTTGGCCAATATATTCGTCAGTGGACTTACATACAACAATCCCTTTATAACCCGATAAATCCATAAAAAATACTTGTAATTGTCTGAAAACATAAAGAATCGGCCAGTAAGTGGTCCTAAAAAGTAAAATATGAACAGAATGATATAATTTGTCTGAGAAATTAAGTGAAATATGAATTGTGCAAACAACTCAGTAGAAGTTACTTCTTACCAACTGTCCAAACTGTATCCCTTTCATGCACTTAAAAGCTGATTACTATTTTTATTGAATTTCAGATGTTCGTAAATATCTGCCAAGATCTCGAACTAAAACGAACATCCCTATAGCTGATAGGATACAGTTAATCTTGGATTACGAGCAGTGCCCTTATAAACCGAAAGCTAGTTATATTGCTAAACAATATGGTATTGGAGAGAGTACAGTTTATTTATATCTTAAAGATAAAGAGAAATATTTCACTCAGTATAGGCAAATGCTGAGCAAAAATGAACAGGCTGAAAATTTATGAAACTGAACTTTTTGAAAGTAGTAAGTGTTAAGAAATGATTGAATTAAATGTGTCAATATTAGAATATTATTGGTTAGTGGAAGAATAAGCTGATTTTGAAAGATCTGTTTGATAGATTAAAAGCATTAATACTGAACATTATGGTGAATATATTTTGAAAATCTGACTATTTTTTTTAATCCATAGAAAATTTAAAAACAAGGATTTCTCTTCCATTTTCCTAGAGGAAAACATCAAGAAGTTGGACATAATTTATGAACAATGCTTGTTAATTTTTTGAAGCAGGTTCTTACCTCCCCTTTAACTAACTCTTGCTTTTGTTCTTTCCATATTTTACTTACTTATTAATTTCAAAGCTATAAGATAACTTAAACCTTGAAAAACAGCTGTAGGATTTTGCCTAATTTGGTGTTCATTTTGAATTTCAGACTATGATAAATGGTGTAATGAATATTTGCCTTCGAACAGAACGCCTAGAAAGGATCTGACTACAGGCAACAAATTAAAATTGATACAAAAATTTGAAGCAAGTGACAAAAAAAGGTCTGAAATTGTCTCTGACCTTATGAATGAGTTTGGAGTGTCCAAGAGCACTGTGTTTTATATCATTAAGAGTAAACGAAAGATATTGAAAGTACATGAAGAAAAAATGAACAGACTTGCATCATTAAACAAGTGATTACAGATCAATGTACAAGATTCTGTTTTATTAATTCATTGACTGGAAAATATATATAAAAATGTGATAAATTGTTAGCTATGTGGACTCTCTGTTTTGTATGTGCCATGATAAGACAATACCAATCAATGTATATAAGATTTCTTCTATTGACTGGAAAATATGAATGAAAATGTAATGATTTGGACTCTGCTTTATGTGTGCCATGACAATAATTTAAATGGTTGAATTTTGTGTAAATGAGAAACTTCTTTCTATTCTCTAAGCCAAGCATTATGAGAAAAAAATGATAATGAAATGGAGTTTAATGTTTTATTTTTCTGCACCTAATTTGTTAAAGATGGGTTTCCTTATTTTTTAGTGTCAAATTAGGCAAAGTATTTGATTAATTGTTGTTTCTAATGAATTATCATGTAGTGTTGATCATATGCTAATTGGATATAATTAAGAGTTTTAACCAATCATAAATGTTTATATATGTACAGTCTGGATAAACAAAAAAAGGTTTTTTGACCTTTGTTGAGCAGTCACTCATTCGAATTTGCTGGTAATTCTCTTCTAATTTAGCTCATTATAAATTATTATGGACATTTGAGACAAACTGGTATTTTTCCAAGTCATTAAAACACCTCTACTTTCTATTCATATAAGTATTAGCATTTTTATTTTCATAAATGAAAATTAGGGAACCCATCTTTAATGACGACAGAAAAATTGTAGATAAAAAATGTTATTAATTCAGTATGGAATGTTATAAATCTTTAAAAAGTCTTACTGAAAATACAGTACAAAATTTTTGTTTTTGTATCAATATTGTATAAAGAATAAAGATGATACTAGTTCAGGACATGTTATGTTTATAAACCCTGCTTTAATAGCTCAAAAAATATATTTAAAAGTACCTACTGGATCATTTAAAAATGTGGACATGGGGATTCTAACTTTTGAACTACCTCATATGTGCATATAAATTCCCACTACACCTTAAATCCTGACTAATAGAAAACATTTTCTCTTTGACATATTTTCAAGGACATTCTATCATAACAAGCTGTTCATTTTGAATTTCAGCAGAAGAAAATGAAAAATGGTGTCTTGAAAATATGTCGATTGTTCACAGATCTCCGAGAATTGATCTCAGTGTTGAGTCCAAACTTGAATTGATTCAAAAATACGAAGCAAGTGAAAAGAGGACTACTGAAAAAGTTGCAGATTTAATGAATGAATTTGGGGTTTCTAAAAGAACTGTGTATTTAATAATCAAAAAGAAGAATAGACTTATTCAGATTTATAATGAAAAACTTGCAAAACAAAACACATAACATTGGACTTAAAATACAACATATGATTCCTTCTTTAACATCATGGGAAATAAGGTGGCAGTAATTCTTCTAGGAGATGATGAACATTGTTCTCTTGTGTCTTGTGTTAGTTCAGACTTCCATGTTTGTTCTTAGAGATGACAATTACAACTGATATATTTTTGGGCAGTGGCGGGATAAAATTCAAGGAAAGAACTTAACACTAGCGTTAAACATTAGTTTGGAAGTTTCTTGCTGAATGGAGGCATGTATGACTGTGTTGACTCTTATCACCATCCACATAATATAAATCCTCTGCATGTCATTACAGAACCTCATTATCAATTGCTACATTTTTTACATTTATAAGAAAATGATGCTCAGTACTAAAGCCTTACTCAAATTCATTATAATAAAAATAGATACTAAAGAATCATTTATTTTGAATTTCAGACGGTTTACAATGGAATCAAGAGGAACTTTTTTCAAGATATCAACAAATGAATTATAGTAAACCTCGTATTAGTCTAGGAACCAAAATTAAAATTCTCAATGAATTTGAAAATTCTGATAAGAAAACGACTGATAAAGTCAAAGATTTAATGAGTCAATATGGAGTTTCAGAAAGAACAGTGTATTTAATTATTAAAAATAAAAATAAAATATTACAGATGTATAATGAACAGAGTGAATGGAATTCTGCAGTTTCTGCGGAACGTCTGAAGCACAAATAAACATTATTGGAATGCAAAATTTCAATCTTTTTCTTGTACCATTTATGTTCGATTTATTTAACTAAGGTCCAGTATTTCAAAGATCAGTTGATGCAGCAACTTTAAACCAATTTTAGTGATTGAACAATCAAACTGTTAAAACACTTCATCATCAGAGGTTGACATAAACTTGATTGAATATTAAAGATAAAACATTTAAGATTTAGTAAGAAAGTTTATAGGATATTGCTGTAGTTGTATAGTTGAGTAGCTTGCTCCTTTCATCTATATCATGGATGGTATTGAAAGTCGAAGTAAGGTATTCAATAAAAATGAGTGACTGTTTCTTCGATTATATCTGTAAAAGTTGTTAGTAAAAAAAGCTTAAAAGTGTGTTATGTTTATTATTGGGTAAAGGTACAAGTTAGTTCTTAGTGTAATGAAATATTACATTATTTTGATATGTTGGAAAGAAACGGCCCTCAGTATAAGGGACAGGTGGGCCATTTTGGGGGGCTGATTTTAGTCTTGAATATATGTAAATAGTTTTCAGAAGTACTAGAAATGTACTAATATGTCTTAATTCCTTTAAAAATACTTCAAACTATGAATTTTACTCACTCTTTCTATATGTCTTTTATATATATCACAGAGTATCTTTAATTTCAAACTCATATAATTCTAAACACACATGGATTTGAAGGCTCAAATTTCGACGGTGAGCTCAGCTAAAAAAAAAAAGACTAAACTAAAATTGGTATAAAAAAATGGCCTACTTGTCCCTTTAAAATGTGTTAATCAATGATTATGTAAAATTATCCATTATGTGTATCTCAATAAAACAAATTTAAAAACACTGACTTTGTTCATTGTTAGTTTCAGATTTACTCTATACTCAAAAGCATAAAGAACTGAGTCTTGATGAGAAGATAAAATTAATAGAAGACAGAGAAGTCCAACCCTCTCCTACTTTACGACAACTCAGTTTAAAATATGACGTATCAGAAAGCACCGTTAAACGTGTCCTTCGTCGCAAAGATGAACTTAGACAGATGAAAAGTAATCGTGATAAAAACATTTGATCCATTGACTTAGATTAAGGATATGAGTTTCTTGATTAAAATGACAGGACTGTCTTTGAGAATTATTCTAAATTTGATTGGATCATTACCAAAAAAACAAAGTTGCATATCATAGCTTACAATTTCATGTACTGCCAGTCTGTTTTAGTAGTTTTCGTTTTGCTTTGAATAAAACACACTAGATTTTTAACTTTCGTTTATAAAATTGACAGTTTGAAGGTCTGTGTGTCAGTAACTCAATGCCTGGTTTATTTAAAATGTAATATATATGTATATATATTTTTGATGTGTTATGTGTACTTACGTGCTTGTAAAAATCAATATTCAGTCTTGTTAATAATATAGAATAACATTTAACACAATATACAAATGTTAATGTTTAAATTAGAACACAATTAGTGCTCGGATATGTTATGACAAACTGACACTAACTAGACAATTTTCACATATGAAAGTTTAGAAATTTAACATGATTTCTCTCTTTCAGTGATGTAGTTTGTTTTGACTGACATATCAAAAAGTATAGTCATTTTGTTGGAATAATAAATCAAAGCCTTGTGATACACAAAATGTTATAGATCCATTTGGAAGTTGAGAAAGAGAGACATTTCACTATACAAGGGTGTTTTGCTTCTAATTCAGCCGGAATGCAAGATCTAAGATTCTATTTCGTTTTGTTGGCATAATTTAAGCCTCTTTTCCTTAAACACACTGTTAAGATGCTGTAATAACCTGAAAAGTAACTGATGATATTTTACTTTTCAGGTTTTACACCAACTTTAAAATACAATCATTTATCATTGAAAGAGAAAATTGACATGATTCTGGAAAGGGAAGCTAATCCTGTGATAGCAGTACCTGAACTTATCAAAAAATACAAGGTGTCTGAGAGTACAGTGTTTAGAATCTGGAAGAATAAAGACATACTGAAAGCAAAATATGAAGAAGAATTAAATTTGTCAATATTTGTGTGATAACAATAAGATACATGGTAATAATGATGCCCGTACCAAAACTTCATTTATTATGAACCTCTTGTTACAATAGGCAAGGCATGCTCAATGTAATATTCTTCTATTTTAGATCAATTAACCATAATGTTCATCAAACTTTAAAATCAACTTAGGGACATAGTTTCTCATCATGAAAAAAAGAATTTGCTGTTCATAATTAAATGTTGAGAAGGAATACCAAACTAAAAATTATTTTGAAAATGGATAAATCTTCTGATTGATATAACCTGAAAAGTAACATTTAAGATTTTACTTTTCAGGTCTGTTGTCAACTCAGAAGTATAAACAATTAACATTGAAAGAAAAAGTGGCTTTGATACAAGACAGAGAGTCAAGTCGTCCAATGACTGTTCATGAATTATGTTCCAAGTATGAAGTATCCGAGAGTACAGTGTTCCGAATATTTAAAAGAAGAAAAGAGTTGATAGACAAATTTGAACAGGGAAAACAAAACTAGAAATAGGATTCTATATTGTGAAGTTAAATTTTGATAGAAACCAAGAAACCAATTGAACATGTTCAAGGAGAGGATACTATACATGCTAGCTGGCCCAATGCTCTTAAACAAAAACATGTTTCTATTTTCATACCTTATTTTATAGTTCATTTGGTGCCGAGACTTTCCGCCTTTTTTCTATGACGTGTGCAGTTTCAATGCTATTCTTTGTCAATTTGTGGGGAAAAAATTGTGAAACTATCAATTGTTACAGATGAGTAACATCACAACAAAACTTGAAAGAACATTGCCGTCTAAATATACCAAAGAATTTCGGCTATTAATGATTTTTCAGAATTGAAGTCTGGCATGCAGTTTTTCTGCCATTCAGCATTTAAACACATTTGAATTGTTATTACTTCCAAGAAGTTATTCACTCTGTAATCCTCAGTTACAATAGAATCAATAGTCAATTATTATATAAGATGCAGAATATGAAAACAAAATTGTACCCATATTAGAACCCTCAATCTCTGTTCCTGAAAATATCGAGTTAACATGCCTACCTCTATATTTGAACACTTGATTTAATTAGAAGCATTGTACACTATGCTGCTGGCATTGTTCTATAAAAATATGTAAATATAAATTGTTTATGATTGTATATATTGAAGGATGGATTATGATCATTCCATAATATAGTACCAGTAGTACTCAGCTCTCATTCCTCAAATCTCTTATATTGCAAAGTATCTTGTACATGTGGAATATACCATTTATAAATTGGCGTACGAGACAAAAGTTATTATTTTTGAGGGACACCAAGTTTGATATCCTTGTAAATATTACCATAAATATGAAAAGGCAACATACTCTACTGCAAAATTAGGCTGACATTCTCTTGGTCTCATATGCAAACGCCTTGTGAAATACCTTTATCACATAATCATAAATTTAAATGAATTTGATATTCCATTTTTACCATAACATAGCAACACAAATAAACTTTTATGTAATACACCTCAGAAGTATATTCACTACTATTTCTCTGATATCTTTTGATCCTTAAACTTGGAAATTTGATTTTAGTAATTTTTTCTTCAGGTGTTTGGGAAGCGTGTGGGGTGAAACGTCAACGAGTACATCTAACATTAGATGATAAAGTTAGGTTAATAGAAGATTGGTCTCAAAAACCACGTCCACTGCTAGCAACTCTTGCCTTACGATATAATGTCCATGAGCGTACCGTCAATAGAATTTTAAAAGATAAAGAACGCTTGAAAGAAGAATATTTGAAATACAAGGATAAACAATTTTAAAAATATATTTTACTGGTAAACATGGTTGTTTCTTCACCATTCCAGACATTTTGACAGTTGATGGAACATTCTTTGCCAATTTTCTTGGTTTAAAAAGCATTTTATTTAAGCAAATCGTATGGCAAAAAGACGTAAAATTGTAAATAAAGCAGGATATATTATTTTAACAATTTCCAAAAAATTCTTTAAATTGCACATAACGGTGTGTTTTGACTTTTTATTGCACATTGGGTTAGAGTGAAGGATCTTTACATGCTTAGTTACATCGAACAAATGGTGGTTGTGTACTATTCTAATCTCGGTAGGCGTATAAAAGTAAAATCCTTGAAGAAGCCATCTTCACGCGTTGTACCAGTCAGCCTAGCTGTAAATGGCTGTTCGTGTTATACAGATAATTCGAGAAAGATCAATACCAAGAGATTTGGCCAAGGACCAGCTGGTTGTTATCCTTGTAAAATATAGTACTTTCTTTCTTTCTTTCTTTGGTTATTTCCCTTTATATTAAAATCTGATGTAAACCAAGCAATTTTTTGACAATCTTTGTGTAAGACAAGTTTTTAACAGTCAAAATTCATCTCAAAATTCAATTTAATTTTTTTTTTCTTCAGATGATTGGGATCTTGAGAAGTTAACTACACGTGTTCATTTATCATTAGCTGAAAAAGTTCAATTAATAGAAGATTGGAATCAAAATCCATCGCGGACAATTCTTGCATCTAAATATGGTATTCACGTACGAACAGTCAATAGAATAGTAAGAGATAGAGAGCGTATTCAAGAAGCATACCGTTTATCTTGCAAACATGAAGAACTTGGAATAAACTAGGTGCTATGGAGTCGAATCTCCCCAAAGTGAGAACAATTCTGATGCCACGACCAGCCTGTCTGTGTTTTTGGTTTTCAATCCATATCACCTTACAAACACTTTAAGATACTGATCAGATCAGTTATACCTACATTGACAGGTGTTTCATTCACAGCTTTTCTTAAATTTTAGAACAGTGGTTCCCAACCTTTTTCAGCCTTCACACCAGTTTGGCTACACCCTAGTCTCAGTTGGGAATTGGGGTGTTAGAATATTGTAATTTATAACCTGTTTAAAAAGATGAAAGTTTACAAGCTGAGTTCAGTGATAATAGTTTTCAAAACTAGATTACAATCAAAGCATTCATATAAGATGGCTATAGTCCAAAATTGATTTCTAATTTATAATTGATATACTCCCTCATATGAATAGTTCCTTTACTGCTACCAATGTATTGTTAAACTGTTTTAATTATCTTGCAGTTTCAATTGTTAGTCTTTTTTTTTTATCTTTTTCATATGATATGACAATCCAGATCTGTCTTTTCTATTCCATAATTATATCTACAGTGCCTTACCTTAGTGTTATTTATGGTTAATTTCTTAGTATAGAATATATTTGAAATGATGTTATCTGACTATCTAATCATACTAAATATGATAAGTGATTTTTGTGGATAAGACAATCCACTTAGCTTTTATTTCATGAAAACTAACATCAGTTATTTGTATGTGTAATAATTATTATATATGTAGATATTGTTAAATACAGTTATCAAAATAAAGACATATTCTTATTTTATTTTTGGTTATTTTTTCTTCAGATTTATTTGAGAAGACTAAAAGTTATAAATTGTTACAATTATCAGAAAAGATAGAGTTGATAGAAGATTGGGAAAACGATCCAAATATAGGAATAAATAATCTCGCTTTAAAATATGGCATTCACCGATGTACAGTTCATAGAATTATTAAAAAGAGAGACTTCCATAAGAAACAATATCAAGAAGAAAGTCAATGATGTTGAATAGAAAGACATTTTTTTTAATGTAAATAGCATTAATAGGGATTTACAAGCATAATAGTGTGTTGTAATGTTAACAATGAAGTTTGGTCCATAGAGATTTTTTAAGAGAGTTACACATGTGAAGTCAAGGTCTCGCTACTGAGCTTGGCTTGGACTGAGGAAGTAGGGTCAAATTTGTCTTCATAGTTGACAGGGTTACAAGCAATGCAAATAGCCCATTGCTTAGAATATTATTGATGTTGTTGGATGTAAATAGTTAATATGAAAAGAGAAGAATCCATGTTTATCCATCTGTTGACATGTAGAGGAATTAAATTAACAACCTCAGTTCTTATTCCAAAGATTTTACTCTAAATTACATGTATGTGGAAAATCTGTGAAACTGGTTTATTTTGAAACAAAGATACATTTTAAAGTAAAGAGCATAGAATCCATGGGCAATTTGTAATTCAAGTTAGTCCTTAATAATAAGTATAGTATCATTATTTCTGGAGTATTTTAGCAATTAGTCAGATTAAACAAAAATTCTTATCTGGTTGTTTTTTACTTCAGATATTTTCCAAACCCAGAAGTATACAGAGTTGTCATTGGCTGATAAAGTTAAGTTAATTGAGGAACGAGAGAAATATCCACATCCGACTCAAGCGTGGCTCGCTTTAAAATATAATATACATCAACGTACCGTTAATAGAATTCTTAAAAGGAAGGATGAATATAGGAAATTATATCAGGATACAGATAGCAAATGACAGTTTGGATTTGTTGCAGAAGATTTATTTCATGTTTAATTAACTGTTGGTGTTGTAATTTGTTGATTATTGAATTTGTTAGTTATTGAATTTGTTTGCATTGCAGTTTGTTTGTATATGATACTTATAATGAGAACTGTTAATATTCTATTGTATGGCATAGGACTTTTGTTAGTTGTGTAGTTTGTTTTGAAATTACGGTATCTTTTAGATTTGCCCTTTGTTATAGTATGAAAAAATGATGGTTTGTTTATTTACACTTAGTCAAACAATCAAATCGCATCACATTTTCAATGTTCAGATTCTTACATTGACAAATAATTAATCAATTATCTAAACTGATAAGATAGCTATATGTAGATTAAAAAATTGGTATTTTATAATGAAAACAAATAGAACACTAAAAATTGAGTTAGAAGTCCATATTTATCTAAAAGTATACATAATACAAGTAATTACTTTCTATAATAGTATAGGACTAACCTTAGATCTTTAACACAGATCTTTAATACTGCTTGATATTTCTTTATACTCTGTAATATCATGTTAAAACTTCTGAACTGAATTCAAACCTTTCAATTTCAGACTTGTTTAACAAGAAAGAAATGAGTATTGAAGAGAAAATCCAACTGATTGATGAGAGAGAGGGATATAATCCACCTAAAATTGATGAGTTGGCTTTGAAATATAAAATCTCTACCAGAACAGTGTCTAGGATATTGAAACGTAAAGATGAATATAAACAAATGTATCGTAATAAATATAATAAAAAGGAATTTTCTGTTCAACCTGAAGTAGATTGAGTTACATAGATTGAAATTTTAATTTTTATTCGAAATTAACACACAAATTGTGCAAAATTCAATATTTTTTTTTTCAAATAGTGGTTCCTACATGGCCTTTGACAGTGACAGTAACAACAATATCAAAATTATCTTTGAGTGGATTTCCTTTGATTTCGTTTTTTGACAAGATGCAATATTTTATCAATAGTTAATAATTAATGAGAAATAACTTCAAAGATCATACATATTCTGTATTAAAATTATTAACTATTAATGTTTATTTTTCAATGAATATTCAGTGATGTGATAAGTGATGATAGTATGTTGTAATAACCTGAGCAAATTGAAACTGACCTGAATATAGTTATAATTATAAATTTATTAAGTATGTTTCTTGTGCATTTGCTCAGAGTTACTCTAGTAAAACATATTGTGGTGTTTTACATCCTAGAATGAGTCAATGAATAGGTTATCAAAGGGGTAGGACAAGCAGTTTTCTTAACAAACAAAAAATGTTAATATTGGACTAATTAATGCAAGGCTGGAAACAAAGCCAGAAAATGTTTTGGTTTTTTTTTCTTGATCCATTGAACTTGAAGGTATCAAGTTGGAGCACATTTCTTGATTTAGTTATTTATAATTATTTACAATGTGATGTTTGTGATATTTTTGTTTATATGAAAGTTTTATGGGAGGATTGGAGATTGTAAAATCATGAAAACATCCTTGTTGCTAATTATTTCCCTTTGTACGAGAGATCATTTAACATGGGAATATGAGATAGTGATTGAAAGAAGAAATCTTTTTCAGGCAATATTTTTTTTTTGTGAATCTACATAGTTGAATACTAAAACTCTGACAAACTAATTTAAACCTTTAAGCTAAAACTTATAAAGGTTCCTGTTACTTCTCATACTGTAGAAAGATCAAACCACACTTAATTTCAATGTTACAAATATAATTTGTAATGTGTATAGTGTATTATATAGTTTATAACATTAAAATATATGAGTAGAAATATTACTAAATTACTGTGTTACTTCCTTAATAAAAGATTTAGATCAAAAGATTAATGTTGTTATCAAAATTAAGGCTCAAAGGGTTGTCTCCCATAAAATCTGGTACCTGTTGATGAATTTGTGAACTTAGCTCAATCTAAAATCTGCTCAGCAGCTAGAAAAACTTTCAGATTGCAGGACAGATTCTAAATTTTGTGGTTTCTTGAAAAATTGAACAGATAAGCTTCTTGTAAGTACATGTATAGCGTATATTTTGCCAGAAACTTCATTACTGAATCAATGAAATAAGCTCTTTATACTACAGCTTTCCAAAAGATATATTGAGATTAAATCTGCAATGAAAATAAACTATTTTTTAACATTATAGAGCAAATGACAAGAGGGCAAAGCTAAAGACAGTGTTGTAACAAATTCTTTTTTGGAACACGCCATATTTGCTATTGAAAGTCTGAAGTAATTGTCACATTCAATTCTTAGACTTCTGCATTCTGGTCTTGATAATCCAAAATCTTATGTTTTTATGTGTAAGGTACCACTCAAACAACAATTCTTTAAGATGGGTTATAGAATAGTGAAGAACGTGTACTAGTAGATGATAAGGTGAGAGTGGACCAATAGTTTGATGAGTAGGGTATACTATACAGAAGGTAGTAACTGTGTATAATATTCATTTCTTCTATTTTAACTTGATTGCATGCTTATTTTTTTTAATGAGGTATTTTATAAATGTTTCTGTGATTTCATAACAAAAAATATATTTTTACTGTAGACTTTACACACAAAACTTTGGTAAACTGAAATAAATTTTGTTTAAATTTCAGATAGGCCAGTTCAGATTTTAAGTTGCCGTCAATATAATGAGCTGTCTCTAGATTCAAAGATCAAGTTAATTGAAGAATTTGAGAGTTCTTTAAGGCCGTCGACTTTGGAATTATCAAATAAATATGGTATTGGACGTAAAACAGTCTACAATATATTAAACAGAAGACAACATTATAAATCCATGCATATATCACTAAATACTTCTGACACTAATATATAGAGTAAGTGAATTTTCGTTCTTCTCAAATCACACTCTGTATTTTAAAGGACTTAAAAGTTTATATATCTGAAGTTTGTCTGATTTCACATTCTTATAATATTCAAGGGAACAAAACAAGAATAGTTTTTTTTGTGCCAACTTGGTTTAAAGAAGGATATTTTATTATATATTCTATTGTTTTATTTAATATAAGACAAGATAAGATTGTAATAATAATAAACTCTTTAGAAGTGGTCATGGTCCTGTCTAACATTCAGCCCAGGAGGACAATGAATGATAATGATATGAAACTTATATATAAGTTTACCCACCCTGTAGCTTTTATCACACAGAATGGTTAAATACTCTATTGTAAAGTAAAAATCTTAAAAAACCATTAAAAAAAATAGCTAAGCTTATACATGACTTAAATTTTCTTCTTCAGAGCAATTTTTGGTTCGTAAACGACTGCCTGTAGAAGATAAACTAAAAGTTATTGAAATGATGGAAACTGACCCACGACCTCCAGTGAAGGTCATTATGGCAGAATTTGGTATTTCTCGTAAAACTGTATATAATATATATAACAACAGAAATCAGCTAATTCCAGATAGGAATTATTTTACTACCTGACAATTGTGTTGGTTTTGGTCTGATTGTCTAGCTTTGTTTTAAAGTTGCATTCATTTGGGAAACTAACTAAGGAAGTATTTATATAATGTGGTACTTGTTGTCTTAAAACAATTTATTAATATGATTATGGAATAGGACTGGGTCCTGTGTCACAAAGAATGCGCCCTCACCCCATAGCAATTATCAGTTGCGTAAATATTAATTATTCAGATGTATGAGAGTTGAGTTGGAAACTGTTTTTATTAGCAACCATATCTAACTGTTGATCGCTATGGTGCAAGGGCCACTTAATGATAAGAATTTACTTGAAATTTTACATTGAGAAATATACATATACTAACAACATTAATCCTATTAATCCTATCATGAGTACAGTGTTTAGACTGTAACTGTAAGTATTACTGAAAGACTGTTATACAGATTGGTTACATATTAAAGTGCAGTGATGAGTTACTATGTTTAAATTTACAGGAGAAACTTGTGAAACAGCATTATTGTTTCATATTCTTATATTTTGTGTTCATCTGAAAAATAGCCATTTTCATGTAGTTCTCTAAGGTTGAACTATTTGTACCTCCACTCTCCAGATAACTTTAAAGGAATATCAACTGAATAATTGCTTTACCAGCTGGCTGCTAGAGCTCCTCTCCTGTCATTCATAATATACTTTACATTTAATTTGATCATAACAAAATATTAAAATAAGAAATATTGTAATTGAAACTAAATATTAGTATTATTAAAACAATGTATAATAAACATATTTTGGATTTATCTTTATTTTAATTGATTGTACTTATATATAATGAAATTTTTAATTTAATTATTACCAAATGAGTTTGGTGGACTTTTTTTTACATATATTGCTTTACTTTTAAACTATTTATAGTTGCTTCGTATTTGTAAGTATTTGTAAGTTGAAGAGTAATAAAGTAATTTTAGCTGTTTTATGATTTCAGCTCTGTTAAATACACGCCAATACAAAGAATTACCATTGGAAACTAAAGTTCGATTGATTAAAGCTTCAGAACAGGATCCTAAACCATCAATTCGTCAACTAGCAGATGAATTCGACGTCCAAACTAAAACTGCGTATAATATCGTTAGGAAAAAAGACAAGTACCTGGCTGATTTTGAAAAACGTCAAAATTTTATGAAAAATAGATAAGATATATTGAACAGGTGCCTGTTATGATATCTTTACTTGAAATTTACGTCCGAGGGGGAGCCAAATATCTGAGATTGTATTATAAACTGTTTCATTTCTCTTTCTGAAATATTTTCTAGAATATGGCATGGCATACATTTCAAATCACCTAAATATATAGTATTTCCCTTTTGTTGCTAAATCTACCCAAAATCATGAAATAAAGGTTTGAGTGAGGATGAATTTCAGGTGTCATTTTAGTGCAATCTGACAACAGGAAAGAACCTTTGTGCCAAGCAAAGTTCTCTGTAGCTATGAGCATTCATGTTAGATTTTTTGGGGAGTAACTAAAGTATTACCAGCTTATTTAATTGTAGCTTTCTGAGGTAGTGAATACATTTTTTGATGCCCTAAGCTTGTTTTTCAAAATAAAGTGAAGAAGCCAATGAAAATGTTAGATTTGACATCTTTCTTGAAATATACCATATTCATCTGTGGAAACTTTACTCTGATCTGTCTCAAATTAACCGGAAGACATATATAATGAAATGATCTATCTATTTTCTTCAACAAAGAAAGAAGTAGGGGTGTCCAAGTTTAGATTTGTCATTGATCCCATTGGAAAGTTTGCAATCTGATAATCCAATGGAGTTAAATGGAGGGCCTATTGGCTGTAGACTGTGTTAGATCTGGGTTGGTGCCGAGTTGGTTGATTATTAAGTAGTCAAGATTTAAAATGGAGTGTCTCGGTAAATGGAAGTGAGAGGCGACTGGTGTGTCCCTCTTAGGATAGATAGATTCACTTCTTTAGCATGAGCTTTAGCAGACTTGGTTTGTGGAAAAGTAGATTCTTTGTTTTTTAGCCGATGGATTTTCTTCCACCACGGCGGTTATAAATTCCGAGTTTTAAAAAGGGATCATGACTGCCCACGTTGGTCACGAAATTAGCCATAACTGGGTCGTTGGCAGAGGTAAAATATAATATAAGAGATAAAGATTGGCTGTGCAACCAGTTATCCCCGATTATCAGTGTCACTGAATGAGGGACTTCCATCTTGAAATATATCTTCAACATGCACAGTCAGTAGTACACAGGGTCTGTAGATCCATCAGACTACCAAACACAATCATCATTACATTACATCAATAATTTCAGTCAAATTCTCAGATAATTAAATAAGAATTCTTAAATCATGTCTTGTCAGTGGCATTTCTTTTTGGGGCCCTGATTTGGCCTACCCTCCAATTGAATTTCTTTTCATTGAGTTCTTAAATGCCTAGTGCTGAGGGCCCTTGACAATTCATTGAAAGGCTTGTCTTGGTATACATACTCTGATTCTACTTTCACTGAAGTTTGGAAAAATTTGTATTTTTCAGTATTGGGAAGTACACGAGAATATAAAGAATTACCATTAGAAGATAAAGTGCGCTTGATACAAGATTCAGAAAGATCCCCCAAACCAACAGTGAAAGAATTATCAGAAAAATACCAAACAAAACTGCACACTGTTTATAGTATATTGAGAAAAAAAGACAAATTTATGGCAGATTATTTAAATAGAAATATATCAACCGTGAATTTTCCATATTCATAGCATACTTGCTGAATCAGTTTGTTTTCATTGATCTTCAGTATCTCTGCATTTAATCCTTTTTATATTCTTCATAATACATGTCTGTCAGTGGTCAGCTCTACAGTTAACAATTGAACTTAAATTTACAATTGACATTTTTCTATTTGTCATTGAGGCCATGTGTACTTAGAATATCTTTATATGCAATATCGTGCAGAGATATAAAATTTGGATTCAGTATATTTCTTCAACGATAAAACCATAACTACAATAATTGGAGAGTGTGTTGGTGTCTGATGTAAACTTAGATTCTAATAACCCTCATTTTCACACCTATCAGAATAGCAAACAGCTAGTTTTGTAAATGATAATTTTTCATCCTTTTCATGGATTTTACTTAATAAGGGACTTGAGGCACATTTTCTGAGACTGTGTATGCATTATTAACATATGTATGGAAATTTAAATTTTGAATATATGATTTTTAGAGCTTACTAAACTCTGAAACTAGTAAATATATGTTGTTGACAACTTGTTGCATATAATTTATTCTTTTAATATGGCACGCTTTAAGAAATTGTATCAAATATTTCATGGAATTTCTTATATTTTTGTATTTTTCAGTGTTGACATATACACGTGAATATAAGGAATTGCCATTGGAAGATAAAGTGCGATTGATACAAGATTCTGAAAGCGCTCCAAGACCATCAACTAAAGAGTTATCCATAAAATATAACACTAAGTTAAAAACAGTTTATAGTATTTTGAGTAAGAAAGAAAAATATCTGTCTGATTATTACAATAAACTTAAAGGGTCATCTGATTAACCCTTTAAAACACAAACTTTTAGCTTCCATACTCCCAGAATATGTAGCATATGATTTGTATAATATTGAGATTTAAATCACATGAAACCCTCACGACAAAATTGTTGAGTGTAAGAGAGATGAGGTATGGCGTCCTGTCTGTGCCAAATTATTGATGCAGTTGATAGTTGAAAAAGCAAATAGATTTGTGGTTGAACAATTTAAATCATATTAATACTTGATATTAATATTAAAACAGAACTTGAATCGTGTTGTTTCTGAGAGTTTCACACTATGCTTTCTGTTTTAAAACTTCTATAATTAATGTATTGAGCACTATTTTAACAGTGATATTTCTATATGGCTCTACAATTGATGTATTGAGCACGATTTTAACAGTGATATTTCTATAGGGCTCTACAATTGATGTATTAAACACTATTTAACAGTGATATTTCTATATGGCTCTACAATTGATGTATTGAACACTATTTAACAGTGGTATTTCTATATAGCTCTACAATTGATGTATTGAACACTATTTAACAGTGATATTTCTATATGGTTCTACAATTGATGTATTGAGCACTATTTTAACGGTGGTATTTCTATATCATTCTATAATTGATGTATTGAACACTATTTTAACAGTGGTATTTCTATATAGCTCTACAATTGAAGTATTGAGCACTATTTAACAATGGTATTTCTATATAGCTCTACAATTGATGTATTGAACACTATTTAACAGTGATATTTCTATATGGCTCTACAATTGATGTATTGAACACTATTTAACAGTGGTATTTCTATATAGCTCTACAATTGATGTATTGAACACTATTTAACAATGGTATTTCTATATAGCTCTACAATTGATGTATTGAACACTATTTAACAGTGATATTTCTATATGGTTCTACAATTGATGTATTGAGCACTATTTTAACGGTGGTATTTCTATATCATTCTATAATTGATGTATTGAACACTTTTTTAACAGTGGTATTTCTATATAGCTCTACAATTGAAGTATTGAGCACTATTTTAATAGTGGTATTTTTAGATCGCTCTATAATTGATGTATTGAGCACAAATTATCAGTGAAATACTTAATATTAATATTAAAAGAGAATAGTTAGTGATTAATCGTTTCCTTTGATAATAGGTCACGGCAAGTGTGATAATCTTTAATGTCGTCAACAGATTAACTTCAATCAAGGTGCTGGTTTAAAGAGATTAATTAATTAACTACTTTCGGACTTGATTTCAATGCTGGATTGCGCTTTAGATAGGACCTCCTATATATTAAACAGTGATTCGGCCGGAACTTTTCAAAATTTACAGGTTTACAGAGGAATCAGGTTTATAGAGGATGTGGTTTATATATAGAATATAATTATAATAACTCATTCACAAGCATTTACTCAACATTCACATGATTTTTAAGAATAAATGATGTACAGCATCTGTTGCAGAATTATTGATTTAATATTAGAAGAGAATACACAATCTATATTTTTTTAGTATCCTGTTTTTTCTGCTAAGATTGTTTTCCAATTGTGTTTTATAGTTTTGTTAATGTGTTTCCCAGAATGAATGATACAAATAGTGTTGCTAATTTTTGTGTTGTTAGTTTATTACATGTACATTAAGATATTTTGATAGAAATATATAAGTTTTTTTTTCCTGTTCATATTTACAACTAATTGTTTTTCATAATAAATGTACTTAATTGTGGTCATCCACTGTGTTATTTGTTTTATTAACCATTTACATTTGGGTGTTTTGTTTACAGTTTTAAAAAGGCTAGCCAAACTGGAGGTACCCATTATAGACAGTGACAACAGTTTTTGTCATTTTTCACCAGTGGTTCTCGTGTCAATTTTGAAGGTCTGTCATGTCATACTTGATAGCTGATGGTCAAGACCAGATTTAAATTTTGTCTGCAGATCAGAATTTAAATTTTAAATGATTGAAAAACATCTAAATCATGATACTGTTAGTCTTGATACTGTTATGTGTATTTGATTAAGTGTTATGATGTTTTGAACATCAAATGTTTTTAAGATACGAATAGAATTACAGTATACTGGGATTTCTGATTGGTCAGTTGATACTCATAAAAGATCAACCTGTGTGACTCTGAAACTGTCAAAAAAATTGTCCTAGAAGTGTGTCAGAGTAATGTGCCATTTCTTTGCAGTGCAGGAAAGCAACCTTTACACTCACTGCACTTGATGAGTTAAGACCCATTTAAAGCAAGTATAAAGTAAAATTTGATGTTACATGTCATGTCATCACACAATAAAATATTATGTGGTTTTCGGATACTCATAACAGTATCACAATCATGAAAATCGAAATTATGCACAACTGTCTGACTACTGCTGGACACAGTTTTTCCATCTAATAATGTCATTGTTTATGCCCATCTCCATCTATGTTCTTAAAGTATTCAGACTAAGGATGTTTTTAGTAAACAGCTTCTGAATTGTACATGATATTGTAAGTGGGAAAAGAATAAGTTGCTGCTTTTCGCTTCAACGACTGGCACGGGCACACAGTCGTTCTCCACCATGTCGATAATCACGTGCAGAGCATGTAATTTGAAAGGAAAATGAATCTGATGATGGATGATGACGGTCTGTCTTGCAGACAATAAAACAATCGGGGACAATTATCAAACTTGTTTGGTATTATAAATCCTGTCTGGCCCACAATAATCTTGTTGTGGAAGCATGGGCACACGCAAGATTTTACTCAAATCTCAAACCAAGACCAGTCGTGTGCCCACCCCATTAGAAATGACTTCAGATTATAATAGTTAGTAAATCATCAGTTAATGATCTATATTTTTATTTATTTTTCAGCCTTGTTGACAACACGCAATTATAAAGAATTACCATTAGATCAAAAAGTTAAATTAATTGAAATGTCTGAACAATACCCCAGACCATCAAATAAAGAACTGGCAGTCATATTCGATTTAAAACCCAACACTGTTTACAAACTTCTTAAAAACAAGGCACATTTCTTGGCGCAGTGGGCTCATAGACAGAAGCAAAAAGATTAGGTTAGTCATTAATACTTTTTAATGTTGATCATTTTCCATTACTCAGATTCTTGTGATCATGCCAAATAATTCATCTTTAACAAATTTCAAAAGGGATGCTGAGTTAACAAATAAATTGAGAGGCATGAGGACTTGTGTTTTACCAGCTACATTATAAAATATTAATAAAATATCAAAACACCACTAAACTCTCAAAGTACATTTGGCAATTTAAACAGCAAAATAATAACTACAAAATATCTTGGTCTATTGATAAGCAGAGCTAAAGCAAATAAAACCAAACGCTGTAACTTAAGAAATTTCCATCATTAACGTCCCCAAGAAAAATTCATTAAGCAAACCTTCCGAATTTGTCTCAAAATGTAGACATGAGAATAAGTTCTAGGTCAGTTGTCTGAAGATCGCATAGCATGAAACTCTGAGTAACAACATGTTTTTTTAGGTTCTGTTTTAATATTTAGAATTATGTATATCATTACAATTTTGACTTCACTTGTCATTTCTCACTTGAAACGTAAATTTTGTCAGACTCTCTGATATCAATTTGTGAAAGCTAAACACTGGAATTTATACTTCATCTGCATATTACTTTCAAGCATAATATATCATTTAAGAGTATCAGATTGGATTGGCAAAGAGCTTCTTAATCACTTAATTCCTGAATGACTATTGTCTCAAAATGAATATGCCAAACAAATATATAGTTATGTGGACCCAAAAGGGATGTTGAGTTGACAAACCTAGTCTCAGAGTGGTATCAGTTGTGCTGTCAAGAGTTTCTCATGATTTAGTGTTCTTACTTGGACTAAGGAGGTTATAGCTTATAGCTAGGGGTCAATACTGTCATCAGCCTATTGGCATGTAAAAAAGAAACGTACCAAACTAAATTATTAGACTTAGGAACTAGCGAATACCAACGGTCCTGCATTTGTGAAAGATATGCAAAATTTTGAGCAATTTCTCCTCGACAAATTATCACGTTTTATTTTTTTCTTTCAGCATTACTGAGCACCCGACAATATAAAGAACTAACACTGGAAGATAAGGTGAAATTAATTCATTTAGCTGAGCGAGAAAGTCATCCAGTAAAGAAACTAGCTCAACGATTTGGTGTTACGTCACAAACTGTATATAATATTTTAAAGAAACGTGACAAATATTTATTCGATTACGAGCAGCAAAAATCTCAAGAATGAAGTTTCCCATAGACAATTGTTTTGTGTTTGGTGAATTAGGGGTTTGCTTTGTTTTTTTTTTTTTATTAATTACAATATTTTCCCAGGACTGTGTGCCTCAGGACTGAGTTAGTATTTTTTCATTCAATTTTGATTCTCTGAACAGTTAAGTAGTTCGCTTGTAGATTATTTCTTGGTTTTGGTGATTTTTACCTTTTTCTTTCATATAGTCTGTTTTCATATAAGGACATGATCCATCATTTTTATTCTTTTAGTTATACCATTACATCATTTTTGTTTTTGTTAATGATTGCATCTTGTATGGTTTTTGTAGGGTAGATAAGCTGACAAAAATTATCAGAAAGATATTATAGAAATCTGTTTTGAATGTTGTGATAAGGAATTAGGAAAGTGATAGAATTATAACAATAAGGGTAATGATAAAAAATAATAACGATAAAAACTGTAATAAATAGGTAATGATAATAAACGATCATGATAATAAATTTTAAAGATAAACGATAATGATAATAAATTATAAAGATAAAGATAATGGTAATAAATGATAATGAAGAATAGATATTGATGATAAATGAAAATGATAAAGAATATATAACGATGATAAATGATAATGACGATAATGATAATGATGAAGACTAGGTAATGATAATAAATATCAGCAATAGATAATAATAACAATATGTATGTTTAGATCATTAAACACAACCAAAACACCATACTGTATGTAGTGTGACTAAGGGGCGTATGCGGCGCTCTTACCTTGATTAAAGTTGAACTTTGGCTAAAATTAGGATTAAGACTTTCATTTCTACATTTGATAGTCAAATTTAAGCATGACTTTCGTAAAGATCGACCGGTGCATATCTAAGTTCGACTTAAGTCTAACTTTAGTCAAAGTTTAGGTTAAGTACAAGCTCTGCATATGACCCTAAGTCACATTTGTTATCATTCCTGGAGAGTCAACAGATCTTAAAATGTTTACTTTGTATATTTATTATGTTTATATTTCACTAAATTAAACATTGATATAAAAAATAATAACAATTTTACATAAAATAATTTAAAATTTTTATTGCACTAGATCTGATCAAAAATGTGGACCAAATAACAATTGAAATTTTTTGAAAGCATTAGATTTTTTTGGAACTTTCTTTGATAAATCTGTATCAAAATCTAAATAATTAGATCCATTTATATAATTTCAGGAATACTCAGAAGTCGACCCCAGAAAAGATTATCTCTTGCGGAAAAAGTTCAAGTAATAAATATGTTTGAAGGACCACCAAAACATTCCATGAACAAATTGTGTCAGATATTTGGTGTTGCCGTGGGAACCGTATTTAATATTATAAAGCAAAAAGATAAAATTCTTCAAGAATATGATGATAGTTTAAATGTTTGATAAATAATACTTTCACATATGATGCAGAAAATTTAAGACTTCGGAAAACTACAAATACTGAATTTGCTCTCTTCACAACTCAAAAAATACTACTCTTGTCAAATAGCATAATTAGATTCTTGTTATTTCTAATCATCTGAAACCTTTTTATACACCCACACGTAAGATGGGCGTATATTGTAATCACCCCGTCGGTCCGTCCGTTCACATTTGGCTCGTGCTCACTCTACAGGCTACAGTTCTTTATGGATTCTTTTGATTTTTATTTTGTGTGTCAATGTCATTATGAAGATGATCCCTATTGATTTTCGTGATGATCGGATAATTTTTCACCGAAATATCGTGTCTGACTTGACGTTTTTCTCTATTAGCTATATTGTGCAACTCGTGCTCACTCTACAGGCTACAATTCTTTACAGATTCTTTTGATTTTTATTTTGTATGTCTATGTCGTTATGAAGATGATCCCTATTGATTTTCATGATGATCTATCGATTTTCATGATGATCGGATAATTTTTCACCGAAATATCGTGTCTGACCTGACTTTTTACTCTATTAGCTATATTGTGCAACTCATGCTCACTCTACAAGCTACAATTCTTTACAGATTCTTTTGATTTTTATTTTGTATGTCAATGTCATTATGAAGATGATCCCTATCGATTTTCGCGATGATCGGATAATATTTCACCGAAATATCGTGTCTGACTTGACGTTTCACTCTATTAGCTATATTGTCCAACCCTGTAGTCACTAAAGACTGTTTAAATCATTTCTGACAGCTGCCAGTGGGCGTATGTTACCTTGCCTGGCAAGCTATCTTTTTATTATATAAAGCCATATTTCCTCCTCTTGATTGACATGACGTTGAATGTATCTCGAATGATTTTCAGTCCACTCAGACTTATGGTAGAATAGATCCACAGAACCTTCTTTTATGATCTTCTGATTAATTTGAGAATTATTTCTATTTTTCTTAAATTTCTTAGATTTCCTAGCTAATAACTGGTGTATTTTCTGCTGTTTTTACTCTTTACATCTTCAATTTTTCAGGTTTCTTGCTCAGTTCTCGTCAGTCAAAATTTCTAAGTTTAGAGGAAAAAGTTGAAGTGATCAGAAACTCTGAAAGTTTTCCCAAACCAACCATGAGAGAGCTAGCCAAAGTATATGGTGTCTCTCTGGGAAGTATTCATAATATTATTAAATGCAAAGAAAAATATCTTCAACAATATTCAGAAATGCATAGATAGAATAGAACTATAGCTGTGAAGAGTGATATCCATTATAATATGTCATCTACCATTCTTATGATTATTTAAAAAAATTATTAAAAGGACTATTCAGTTTAGGGCTGTAACAGTTTGACACAACTGTAAATTATTAGTAAACAGTATAGAATCAGTGCTTTTCAACCTTTAGGATCCATTTCCCCATTTGAGATTTTTTTCCTGTCATATTGCCCTAACACTATAAACGTATTGAACCGAACAATCTGTTTCAATGTACCTTGGTAAAATTTTAGATAAAAGTTTGATATAAGTTTTGAAACATTATTGCTCTGAAAATACACAGGTGCTTACATTGAACTATTTGCTCCAATGCATATTCTTCTCCCATATCTATGGTTAGGCAGTTTTGAAAATACAAGCTGTAAGTTTGTGTGATATATATTTAAACCTATTAAAGGACTGTTGAAGGTGTGGGGGGGGGGGAGACTGGTTTGCCCAAAATTTTCCCATGAATTTGACCAGTATTTGTATTTGTTTTGGGGTTTTTGCCCAATAGTTTTCTTCTATTACTTTAACATAATATTTTGGTAATCATGCATATACTTTATGATTTCATTTTTTATTCTGTATTTTTGTTGTGAAAATATTTCAAATTTGTTATAGTTATTGATACATGTTTGATAAAAACTTGTAGAAAAAGAATAATCTTGCAGCTTTCAATAAGTTTAGCTTTAGTCACCAGAGCCCAGTTTATTTTGATGATGTATAATGTTGGAACTTATACCAAAATTTTAGTTCATTATTGTACACTATATGGATTTATAGTTCTGAGTTTCGTTTAATTTTTGAAAAGTAGTCTGGTAGTTTTACCTTTTTTTTTATGTGTTTGAAATCATTTGTGAAATATTCATTCTGAATAAATATCTGAAACAAAACTGTTGATTCATCTGCCAATAATTTGATGACATGGTTTACAAACCCCTTACACACTCTTCAGAGTCCAACTTTCCAATCTAGATTTGGCATAAAGAGTTTTGCTCTTTTGCTGTAGAAATTAGAAATGTATGGTAACCTTATACTGCGTTCAGAGGACTAAAGTTAAGACAGCGAAACCGTCAACTGTTCTTCCAGCCTGTTTTTTTTTTAATCATCTGAACGCGACCGGTTAAACTTAAGCTGCACCTTAACTTACACCTACTTAGGAGGTGGCTTAAAACCTGGCTTGAATAGTTAAGCCAGCTTAGTTTTGCTGTTTGTATACTATTGGCTAATATCAAGCCTGATATGTCATGCCTGCGTGTGCACATTCGTCCAAACAAATTTCCGCCATTCTTACCTATGTTATAATGCACATGCATTATAGTATTATGACTTAACTTTTATGTCCGTCTGAACACTCATCAAAAAACAGTAAAACAGGTTCGAGGAACAGTTGATCTTAGCTCTAGTCATCTGAACTCACTAATAGAATCTTAGTTGTTGTAGACAAAAAAAATGTTAATTTATGTCAAATGATAAAACAGCTTTTATATCAAAGCTTAAACATTTGTGCTATCTTCATCTTGGATACTTGACATCTCTCATCTCTAGGTAAATATTATGTAATTGTAGGTTGACAACTTAACATCATCTATCATTAGGTATATCATCACTTCCTATTGACTTAAGGAGTAATTGTAATCTTATTCAAGTTGTAAGGAGAACCTACCAAGGTACTCACCTGCACTAAGACACCATTGCCACTGTTACTGTATGAAATATGAAATTTTCTCTTTTAAAATTTAAAATCAGTTTTGATTTCGTGTCTTGTAAATTTGGGAATTTAAAAATAAAATTATTTTTTAATATATTGCAGGGGAGTTTGAAGGTGCTATGATAAAGAAAGAGTTGTCTTCAGCCATTAGGTCTATAGTTGAAAGTTTAAATCTAGATTGGCAAAACCCACCCGGCCTTTCTCAGCTTACCTATCAACAGAAGGAATTGTTCTTTCAGGGTTTATATCAAACTAACCCTAAATTTAGAGACTTACATTATCTGGCTTGGAACAAACTTGGTGAACATTTGTGCAATAGAAGACAGTATTTGAATAATAAAAAACTTGGAAAAATTGGTTATAAGAAAAAATAGTGATATAGAGAATGTTTAGCTTCCTGTCAAAAACATCTGAACTTCCGATTCAAATAGTTGTAAGATTTTAAATATGTGATGGGTCAATATTGTTGTCAATGTTTCCATATCCTACAGACTTTCTGTAATAGCGTTTTTTTTTACATGGACTATTGCTACTGCAACTATAATGTGAAGTTGAATTCAAATATCTTTTTGTTTTTTTTACTTCTTGTATTCTAAAAGAGATAATGAATGTTTTTATGTTTTTCTAACAGATTAAAATTATTGAGATTATACCATATTATCTTATTATCCAAACAACTACCCCTTTATTGTGATGTATCAAATAAGCCGGTCTCTGATCAGAACTGAAGATTGATGGCTATATTTTAAATCAAATTTAAAAAATATTTTCTGTATTCTGGGGAAAATGTTACGACATATTTAGTAGAGAAATGATAATCTATCAAAGTAATATTTTGGTACAGGGATTGTTATTGAAGGAACCATACATTGAAGAATTTTGAGAATAATAGATTGTTTTTAACTATAGAATGGTCAGTAGGATAAAAAAAACTCCATTTATTTAGTTTCATTTAAGTTATTGACCAAATTAATCCTCAAATTAAAGTAAAAAATATGTCACATAATAAAACTAAAGTTTTCATTATTTATCTTAGATTTGTTTGACATAATGGCAAATTCTGCTACTTAACTCTAATTTCAATTTCTTCTGATTTCAGATAAATCTCAAGAAAATGAAAGGAGTTCAGTAGCAGAGAATGCTGAACTAATGGCATGGGTAATGAATAATAATTTTAGAACTCGAGGGCGTTATAAATCTTATAGTAAAGAAGATAAGTTAAAGGCTATAGAATTATCTGAAGAGGTTGGTGAAAAATCAGCCAGTTCTGAACTAAATATACCAATATCAACAATTCGATCTTGGAAACGAAACATAATCACTAAATTTTAGCACCAGGTGAGTCATGAGACTTTGAAGTATCTTTGGAACGCTAAAGTCCCATCTGCGTATCAAGTTGTCCTTAACATGGAGTACTGACTTAGTTAAGATTGAAAAATTTTCAATGAAAACTTGCTCATAAAGATGCCAGGCAAATCAAAAGACTGCTCTAAATCAAGCTGTTGGATAGTTGACATGGCATTACTTTACACAATTTCCATTTTAGGGGTTCTGATATTACATTTTATTCCTTGATGAGGTGCTTTTTGCTTAAAATTTTGAGCTCCACTACCGTAATCACTATGTCAACAAACAGTAAACCATTTATAAAATATTGCTAATATAAACCATATTAAAGTATGTGAAATATATGCTTTATTATATGTGCTACTGAATATATATTTATTTAATTTAAAGAGATACTACCTCTTAGAATCCCTGTATAATCTAATAAATCTATAAAACAACATAATGATTGAAAAACGCTTAATTATTACTCAGCTTTGAGGATAGTTACTTAGTTTTATGGATTTAACGGGTTATAGAGGGATTTTGCTGAAAAGTTATTGCATTTGGTAAGTCCTAAGAGGAATATTATTATTGGAAAAGTTTAAAAATCAAGATTTAATGTTCATTCTAAGAGGTAATATTTTAAAGTTTAAAGAGAAAGATAACAAAGGTTTGTAGGCTTTGTAAGACTTCAACTAAAAGTTCTATTCTATGGCTTTAATAATTTATTAAATATATTAGTAACATCATTCACATCCAACTTCTTTCTTCCAATCAGAAACACGAATTCTGTGAGTTCTGTAACAAGTCTGAGTGACAATAGTCTTCTCTATAAACTGACAGGCTCCCACATCATATTTACATAAACCTTGGTATCTACAATCCAGGATCCATTTATGTCCTATTTCTGCTGGTTGTCTGTTTCTAGCCTTAGCTTCAAGGTATATACATTCTCCAAATGGTCCCAGTTGATTCATTAATATGGAGCAAGGTGGTTGTGTAGGACAAGCTGAATTAGAAATTATTATTTAGGTTTATTGGGGAAAAGATGTTCTTATATCTAATTTTCAATTATCAAAAACTAATTGTCAATGAGTCTTGAGCATACGAATGTTAAAAGTATACTGTGTTCCAATGTGATTTACTAGCTCTATAATTTTTGTACTTTGAACTTTGACGCAAGTTCCTCTGTAGTAAGAAAAAGACTGTCAGCACATTGTCAATACTTGTAAGCTTTGGAAAATGAATCTCTGGAGAAAAATTATATAAAAGGGTTTAAATATTTTGAGTATTTTTGTGCAGCAGTTCTACAGTTATGCAGATATTTAATTACTTTTCAAACTTGCATAAAAAATATCATAAGTATTTCAGTGATGCAGCATGTGATGTTCTCTATTTCTGACAGACAAAATAAAGATAGACTTACTGTTAGTAGGACAACATTCCTTGCCTTTCACCAACGCTGGACATTGTGACTTAATCTCTTTAGGTAGAAACAGAAAAATAAACACTATTCCTACAGTCCAAAACATTTTGTTTACTTGTTAGTTAACATTGATAGTAAATATTTCACTCACAATACCAATAAAACTGTCCATTCTCACAAAAAAACACACACAAATAGTTTTCACTTCCATCTAGTAGTTAAACTGTTGGTTTTTTCTATGTTATTGAGTTGGATTCGTAAAAAATAGTTAGCCTTCTGTCCACTTTTTAAGCCATTTTAAAACTTTTAGATCTGATAGTTTCTCACATTTTTTAATTTAAAAAAAGGCAAAGTATAGTTTTTAAAACTCCTATTTTTCCTCCTATTTAAAGTCAGTTATAATATTTTAATCCCTACATGTTAAAAAGCTGGTAAAAGTATTTAAATATTAGTCCATGTTTGTCCACCAAAAAATATTAGTATTTTAGTACTATCAACCTTTTAACTTTATTAAAAAAATTAGTTGGCCAGTCTGACTTTCTTGACCACTTGTAGCTATTTCTATATATATATTGTTGTTAATTTTGTCTTTTCTTATTTAAATTATTTGTTTCATTCTTTCAGAGGACAGATTTATGTTAGAATATGTTCATCTTGGAAATATACATGCGGTAGGTATCTATGGGCATATTGTAAAAACTATTGTTTTAAGCCATTTCAAAAGTATGTCAATTGAGAAAAAAAGATTTTCTTAAATTGAGATTTTTGTTTGTAAAAATAGCCTTAGCTGTCTTCAGTTCCTTTTCATTGTAGGTTGCTAAATTTATTTAGGTCAGACCAATTTATTTTCTTGTTTTACAAATTTAAAAAACAATCTGTAAAGGCAAAAGGAAAAAAAAGACCAAAGTTTGTGTGAAGGGCAATAGAAAAATAAAACTTAAAAAAGCCAGGACTGCCCTGCCCTACTTTCTAAGTATTGTTTTGACCAAACAATGGGAGTTTCTGGTGCTCTTTTTTTTCATCAGGAATGAAGATTGTTTATTTTTCTCCTGCTTATTTTGCTTTCTGATTTCTGAAAAATTGAAGTACGAGGATCTGTGACCCAAAAAATAATCTTAGTCTGGCCTAAAGATCAATTTATATTATCAACCCCATTTCCATTATCCAGAGCTTATGGATCTAAACCTCAATACCAACAAGTTACCTTGTCTGAGAAACTCTGACCCTTTCAATAATCTCTGACCAGTAGCGCCACCAGTGGGGAAAAAATGGTTTGCACTCTCACTTTAATTTATAAAAAATTAAAAGTATGATTTTTATAGGTGTTTGCCCCAAAATATGTGTTTTAAGGCACTAATTTTTTCAAAAATTTTCTTGGGAGAACCCTCACAGATGCTCCATGAGATGCTTACGACTATGATGCCTCCACATATTTGCCACATTATTAAAACAGCCTAGACAGTTGTCCCCCTATTGAGTCAGTCTACGCCCTATTTGTACTCCAAGTATCAATAGTCTGGTGCCGCTACTGGCTCTAACAGATGATTTTTGACTAGGACAGGGCCAGAGAGACCATGTTGTAACTACCAGTTACCCCATTGCATAAAATTTAGCTTGAGAAATTCTACATTTTAGGATATTTTGTTCTATTTTAGAGAAGAAAAGATTTCAATCCAGAAGGTTTAGTACAGAGTTGTCATCTGTGTAGTTATAGAACTAAAAGACGGTGGAATCTTGTGAGACATATTCGTCTGAAACATAGTGGTCCCAATCCCATGACATATAAATGTCCTGTGGTAGACTGTTCTATTGAAACATTTTCTTTAGATGATTTTCATGATCATATCAAAATTCATGAAGTGGACGCAAAATAGAAAATCAATTTGTGACTTGTGGGAGAAGGTTTGAAGAGGTTTTCACTCAGCAAGAGCATTCCTTGAATAATTTGGCATAGTGTGGCATGTATGAACATGCTAACATACATCCAAGTCATCTCTACAATAATGTTTGACAAGATTCTTGAAAGGGATATATTTGTTTAAGTCAGCTGTTGAACTCAATTTTAGCTATTTATAGCCGTTTTCAGAATTCAAATTAGAGATCCAATTTGGCTACAACTCAAGAAGCACTACCATAGAAATTAAAGTTGTCACTTCCAGAACATTTTCAAAAGTAGATTATATACCTTTCATCAGCTATCATGATAAATAGTCTGGGAAGATGATAGTCTACAATACTGTTCCATTGCTAGAGAATTTAATCAGATTTAAATCTTGAAAAGTGATAAAAATTTTCAGGTGGCAAAACAAATGTCCAGACAATTGTATCCTTTAAAGGCCATTTACTTAACATTTTGTAAGATTCTTTGTTGTGATTTACTTAATTCATCTTTTATTTATATACAAGTATACATTTCGTTTTATTTCATTTGTGATAATTTGTAATAATAAAGTTCATGAAAAAATCTTGAATTTCCTGAAATTTTGTACAGGCATCTCTCATTAACAAATTTAAGCAAACAAAAACATCAAAAATATAAATAATAGATCCTTAACAAATATTGATCATGAGAATGTATGTACATATTTTTGATTCTCATTTGCAGTCAATGACAATTACGAAGAAATAAACACATCTGAATAATTATATATGTGCAAAAGGGACAATTGTATAGGTTTTTTGGTGTTAAAATTACACTGATTTGTTCCAACTCTGAGTACATTTCCTGGATTATCTTAGATATGCATGAATGATTTTGTATAACTATAAATGGAAAATAAGCCAGACAATTCAGGGACTACCTAGTTCCTCAGACGTAATTTATAGAGGTGAACTACTACTACACATTGATATCGCATTAAAATGGGATTAAAATAGTATCTTCAAAAAAACACTGGCCTTGGTCATGAAGTAAGAAACAAAAACTAGGGGTTTGAGAAGATTAATGCCACATCATCCCATCTGTGAGGAACCTAGTATGACCAGGGTTGTAAGGCTAGTGGTCAATGATAATCATACTCAGAGAGTAATAACTGGACTTAGGCTATAACATATGCACCCTTTTATAAAAGGTATTGACATCAGAAGTAGAAAATGTAAATACATTGTTTCATGATTCCTTCACAGCAACTGAAAACAATGAAACTTAATAAAAACATGCAATTATAATTCAAAATTTACATTTCAGAATATTTTGCTTCTGAGCTGATCCTTTAGATAGTAAGTAGACAGTTTAGCCACTACAATACTGACATTCTTCAATCCATGATTCTTTGCTAAAATCATGCAGATAAGTAGAAGTAAAACACCATAATATATGCTAAAAACATACAGTAATCATATTTCAAAATTCAGTCTTTTAAATTTGGCTTTCCATGTACTCAGAGTACTTTGTGGTATTTGTAATTCTTTACACACATTAGATATGCCTTTTAATTTAGCAAATCTTAAGGCATCAATTTTCTCTTCAGTAGTATACCTAGCACTTGGTTTACCCATAAGGCTGTCGATTTTGGACTGGAGAAAGTTCAACTCATCTGTAATGACAAAACATCAAAAGATTGTGAATTTGGCAGAAACTTTTCATGCTTACTGACAAGTAATAAATATGAAACATTGTCAACCAAGATAAAGTAGGTCAATAATATTTATGCACATACAGGGAAATTTCCTGTTACTTTAAAGGGACAGATTTGCCTTTTTTTTTGACCAATCATACCTAAGCCTTTGAAACAGAATATTTTTAGCTGAGCCAATCAGTAATAGCTCACTGTTGAAATTTGAGCTTTCAAATCCATGTGTGTCTAGTACTTCTGAAGACTATTTACATATACTCAAGACTCAACACCACCCCTTTCCCCCTTTCTAAAAATAGATTGCTGGTGTGAATGTTTTGAGGTGAACCTTGACCAGCACAATCATTTGCATGTAAATTTAATTGAAATTATTTCAGTAACATAGCAAAATACAAAATAACAAACTGTAGAAGATAATATGATGCTATTTCAAAAAGTACAAGTACTACAACTCTATCTAAACTCATGTTTAATAATTCGTTACATATTAAAGTCATCCATTTTCAAAATATGTCAAATTTTGGATAAGATTAAACAGCAAAACTAAACAGCAATCTAAACTAAATCCTTTAACATGAAAACACTTTTTGATCACAATTTCCAGGACGGTTATTTTCTTCCAAAAGAAATGAAAACTAAATAAGATCAGAAGACTTATCAATATTTTCTCTAAATAACAATTGGTTTTCACAATACATAACACTTTTAAAACAAGCTTATAAGCACAATGTCAAGTAACTATATAGTTAAATATCCTGTTGTAACACTTTACACTGATTTGACTTGACAGATTTGATATGAATAGAAGCTTTTTATTCTGCATCATTATTCTGCATCACTTATTTGATGAGAATATATGTTATGTACTATATGAAAATAAATCTAAACATATATGAACTTTCAATTCATTCCAGATTCATTGCATAAGTTTTCCTTGTCTTTTCACATACAGTATCTATACATACTGATACATCCAATGATCCAATTTGTTTTAACACAGGATAAGTTAAAATTCTTCTTTTTGTTAAACCAATCCAGCTGTTTAGACAGCATAAACTGATTACTTGTCAACCAAACAATCCACCGTGAATGTTTCGCAACCTCTGAGCTTTACAGAAAATGCTGAAAATTGCCGAGTGCTTGTCAACAAGAAAATATACACAATTCACTTTTACACAGAATCAGTTTTAGTTTCTTTTTTTTTCTTATAATATAGATCAATATAGAACTGTTTTTTACGAATAATATTTGACGCTGTTGGTTGACTGATGCCAAATTTCTCAGCCAGATCTGTTTGGGAAGGTTTGGGTTCCGCTTCCGAAGCTTGGATTAATCGTATTTTATCAGATAATGACAATTCTATTCTTCGTCTCACTTGAAATAAATCTGAAAATCAAAACAAAAATGTCTGTAGCAAGTTTGAAAGTGAGATTTTATTGATCTTGGGATTTAAAATAGATTTGTATGTATAGTGAGGCGCTTTTTATTCCGATTACCCATCAGTCTCTAGTAACTCTTTGACAGAATATTGGAATTGTGCTAATAGAACTTAGAAGCTGTAAAGATCCCCAATACAAAAACAAACATAAAACTATTTTACTGCCTAAATCATGTCCTGTATTAATCAGATTTGAACCTGTGCTCAATTATAAATGTAACCTCCTAGAGTTAGTGTTCAAACAAATAATGTAGACTTTCAATGACATACTTTAATACTGAGCGGCCAACAAAAGATGTAAAATCATCAACAGAACAGGAAATGGGGGTTCAGTATTGGTTTTTTCAAGAACTGAAAGTCTTAAAATGGGGTAAATAAGAAATATTTATTTAACTTGGAGTAGCCCTCAAAAGTTGGAAATAAAAAAAAGTAGGGTACTGCCTTTGTAGCAAAATTTAGTCTAATGCTGTCCTGGCACTCTACAATTAATTCATTGCAATGCTGATCTCTAATAACCTGGCCATGTATTCTCGAAATGATCTTATAAGAACTTAAGACATCCTAGCGCTAAGATCGTTTCGAGAATACACCACCTGGTTCACAATTTAGTAGGATGTAGGACTACATCTTATTTCATTCTACCCAAATAAGTGTCCACGCTACTACACACAACATTATTTTCAACATGCTATACATGTATAGGCCGTAAAGATTACAGTGTCATATCACATCAGTTTTCATAACCTGAAGTTCAATGCTTCAACCATTGATCAAAGGATACCAAGAATTCCAAGTGGTCAAAATGTTTTAAAAGCACAGTTGAGTGTAAATAATAGCATCATTAAACTTCTACAGATATAACAGCATCATGTATGATAAAATTATTTATTTTTAGACAAAGTACATGTAGAACCACGGTGGACATTACTATCAAAAGTCAAAAAAAAACTTAAAAAGAACAAGAACAACCAATTTTAGCCCTGTAAAATTTGGTAAATAATAACTATGTAACATGTACAAAATTTACTCTAAAAGGCAACCTCAACATGACTAGTATATTTTGTGACAGCATTTCAAATATTTATCAACCTTCTTTGCATCAAAATGTACAGGTCGTGTTTAAAGGTTTCAGGGCCTTATGTGATAAAAGCATAATATTTTGCCGTTAGTTATCAATCACATAGTTTTAGGGGAATTGCAGGAAATTGCAAGTCTAATTGAAAATTGGAATGGTATAAATTGATGCTATCAGTGCCCCTTATATATAAAAAACTTAAAAAACCTTTTTACAATCCCTTTAAATGGTTGTTAATTAAAGCCATAATGTTCCTCTTGTGTAAACATAAAAACTACATGTAACAGCTTTTTATTAACTTTCATTAGTTATTCATTTATTCTAATTTTTAATTATAAATCTCTCCTTGCTTTCCTGAATTAATATCAACATCTGCTGTTATTTTATATCCACAACTAGTAAATTATTAATTAAGAGTCAAGATGAAAATTCAACTGTATGATATTCTACATAAATGTCAATTTTAACAAATATTAAAAACACTTAAAAAAATCCACAAGTATCAAGCACCTCACATGATTGGACACAAATAGTTAGGTATTAGGGGGTGAGAGCTGACACTGGGTTGACTCTGAAGCACTGGCACAGGCATCATAATTTTTCTTACCATGAGGAGGATTTGAACCCATGGCTTCGGACTGGGTTGTTCCACTTCCATAAAAAGACAGTGTTCAAACCCAGCATTAGTGGGAAGTATTGGCACAGTTCAAAAGTTTACCCCTTCAAGGAGATATTCGTATAGCCTACATTCAAACTACAGAATACATCTGAATAATCTGCCATTCTGCGCAATTGGGCATCTTCTTCTGGTCCCGTATGATTTCCTTCTTATGACATTTTAACAAACTTTGAGTACTCCAACATTCTGTGTATAACGAATGTCGAAACTAATCAGTGGTCCCGACAAAAAAAAGCTGTATATTATTTATTGTAAGTAGTTGTCACTCTTTGCTTCAGATAACACAATCCTAATTTCTAATCACTTTATCATTGTTATTCATTATTTCTAATCACTTAATCATTGTTATTCATTATTTCTAATCACTTTATCATTGTTATTCACTATTTCTAATCACTTAATCATTGTTATTCATTATTTCTAATCACTTTATCATTGGTATTCATTATTTATAATCACTTTATCATTGGTATTCATTATTTCTAATCACTTTATCATTGGTATTCATTATTTATAATCACTTTATCATTGGTATTCATTATTTCTAATCACTTTATCATTGTTATTCATTATTTATTATCATTGGTATTCATTATTTATAATCACTTTATCATTGGTATTCATTATTTCTAATCACTTTATCATTGTTATTCATTATTTCTAATCACTTCATAATTGGTATTCAATATTTATTACCGTATCACTTTATCATTGGTATTCATTATTTCTTATCACTTTATCATTGGTATTCAATATTATCAATGTATCTCCTTTTAAGACTATTAACAGCTTGTCTGGACACTCCGTATTTAACTGCTAGAGCAGCTTGTGATGGTTTGAATTCTGATTGTAGAGCACGAATAATCTCCTCTCTCTGCTCAGTACTCAGTTTCGGTGCAGTATGCCTTGAAGGAACTGAAAGCAATAAATTGGATTTCATTTACCATATTTTACAGGATATATTCTGTGGTTTTGAGATATATATTTAGGATTTTAAAAAGAAAGTACAGGAATATACCCAGAAAAATATGATACTGGTACAAGCCTTATACATGATTATGATTGAGACCCTAGATTATCTTGACACATTTTCCAATATACCAGTACTTCATTACTTCACAAGAACACTACTGTGATTAATAACTAATAATTAATTAATGTCTATAATACTAGTATTTACTTAATAGAAATTTACTCAGAACACTGGAATATGCATTGAACATAACTATTGAACACATGTAACAATATAATCAAAACAACTGTTTAACATAACAAAACTGAACACTAAGTTTTCACCAAAACACTAAAATTGACACAAACACTAACAATAATTCACTAAAAAGTTAATCAGCTATTTTTCTTTAAATGTCGTTTTACAAGATTATGAATAGCTTGTCTTGTAACACCATATTTCACTGCTAAAGCAGCTTGTGTTGGTTTCTCATCTGATTGCAAGGCTGCTAATATTTCTTCTTTCTGTTGAGCAGTGATACGCTGAACATTGGAAAACAGTCTTCGCAAATCAAAATTTTGATCTGAAATCAAAATAATGATTGTTAATGTCAATATTGGCAAAGTGCATTGTAACATGCTTTCTTAACATGAACAAGTTTTTTCCTAAATGTCCTTTGGTCGTTTTCCATATTTCCTCTCATATTCCTTGATGAATGAATCCTTTTTTTTCAGAATGTAACTAATAGCAGGCTGTGTTACACCAAACTGCATTGCTAGAGCATGTTGAGGTTGTTTCACGCCATGTTTAGTCGCTGATGCCTGGATTATTTTTATCTTATTTTCTAAAGTAATTTCCTTTCTGGGAGCCATTAGTTCTTCCATTTGCATTCTCATTGCCAGAGTTGTCACTGAAATTCAGATACAAAATGTCCATAATTATTTGTCCTGAATCCATTCACTCACAAGAAAAACTGACTTATTGATCATAAAATCATAAAATCAGAAATCCAACAATCTTAAAACTGTTGCCCACTGTATGTAACGCGCAGTAACGTAGTGCTTGGTGTTCTAGGAGGGGTAAGCACATCTTGCCTTTGACACAATCACAATAAAAAGTCATGGTTGAGATTTGTTCAAACTTTCATATTCAGCTAGATATTGTGTTTTCCGTCTCAAGATATAGCTAACAGTAGGTTGTGATACTTTAAATATTTCAGCTACAGCCGATTGAGTTTGATTACAATTATCAGCAAACTTGATTAGTTTAATCTTATCCTCTAAACTCATATCATTTCTCGGACGACGACTCACACCTTGATATGCTGAAATAAGAGTTCACATCTTTCCATCAGTCACTCATAGACAAATTCCATCACCTTGGCTTATTATTCAAAATCATTTATTCTGTCTCTTTCAATGCATTTTAACTAGTGATCTTTGTAAATGCCTTATTTATAATATGGGCCCTTATATTCTTTTATTAACAACACAGAATAAAAGCTATCAAAACTATTTCCAATATAAGCCATACTTTTCTGAATGCACAATTCACAAAACAAACACACCAACTTTTTGCAGAAACAATCCAACAATAGAACTTCCAAACTTAGATAGTAACAAATTAGTCGAGGTTCTGTTTTCTATTTTTGATCTATTAAGTATTTCACAAGTGTTTACCTGACTATTTTTCTCAGAATATTTATTGAACTTAAAAAGATATGCTTTAATGATTTAATGTTTCGTTATTAATGGATATATTGAAACTCATTAACTATTACAATATCAAGTAACTATGGGGTATTTAAAATAACATAACAGTTAATGCCCTGTTTCTTTTAAAGACCTGATGCCTATGTTTTTTTAACAAAACTTTTCATTTGAAACAAGTTCAATGGAACCTCAGATGAAGGTTCCCAAAAAAAAGAATTTAGTATTTTGACTGTCTGCTAACATATGTCAAGACATTACTACTAGTCTGTAAGGTTCAACCTAAAAAAAACTTGAGTACCATTCTCCTAATTGTTTTTACAGTTAATAAAGATTGACAAGATGTAGATGTTACACTGAAGCATGTAAAAGATGCATAAAGAAAGTCACAGGAATCACATCTAATGATAAAGAGATACTTTCATCTCATAGTTTGCCCTAGTTGATTAAGCTTTAATTCACTTATCTGTCATTTTTCAGAATTAAAACTTGACACCACTATTCCCTACTATTCAACAAAGATGTACTGCCACTTATACAATACAAATTGATAATGATCTATATAGTGCCGTTGTGTATAACATTATGAGTCAATTTATAACCTTGAAAATGTTATTAACAGCATAGAAATAACAACAGTTGACCTAAATTTGAACAAATTTTATTCCTGAAAGATTCTATAGTTAGTTGACACTGAGCTCTATCAGGTGGTAAAGCCATTATTTAAACGATAATATTTCTTTACCAGATAAGAAAGGATCAAATACTTAATTGAATATATATACCAATATAAATGGGAAGTTTTCATGCATGAGGTATATCAGATTCCATCTTTACAGTATAAACAATACTATCAAAAGTTAGAATACATTCTCTTTTACAACTGATGTTAGCTGAAATTAGATTTCGAAAGAATTTATTTCTCATACATGAAAACTTCTGAAAGACCATTAGATTCACCAAGTAATAAAGACACAATCATAGCCATATTACATTACATAACAATTAGATAAGAATTTAACATAACAGGGCTATATCATTAAAGATACCAAAAATATCAACTGCCTTTCAACCGGAGAGTTTCACCTGCCAGAATTTTTGACAGACATTTTGGGTCTAGTCTCCAGAACAAATGAGCTCCCAGCTCCCATTTTCATATAAAAATTGTGTCTGAATGCTTGAAGAATCTAGTGGTGTATATAAATATAAAATGACATATATACCTGGTAATATACCTTGAAACTGTTGATCTATTGCATCTTGAGAAGAGGTAGGCTGTGATGTTAATGAACCTAAATTATTGTCATACATTGCTACAGGATAAATACCATAATTGTCACTATCACCTCCAAAACTCACTGGTAAACTATCATCATTGCCTACAATATAGAAAAGTGTCATATTTATAACATTTAATTCTAATCTTCAAACCTCACTCTATACAATTAATTCTTTGAATTGCTATAATAGGAATGCTTACATCAAAAAAGCATTTACAGTAATCAGCTGAAATGAAATCCAATATTTGGGGGGGTATTTTTGATACTGGTAATCTAAAATTGAGTTAATAATCAAAAGTGATACTAATAATATGTTGAAAAAAGAAGAAAAATCGCTGCTTATTTACAAGACCAGGATTTTTCATTAAAGTAGATGAATCATGAAAAATCGACTATGATTAAACAATACAAACCTTGTAAATGCTGTTCAGATATTTGTTGATGTTTAGAATGAGACCAAGACGTGTCACTGATATCAGCAAATGATAAATTTGATATTTCATTATTTTCACTTGGTTCTTCTTTCACATTAGTCAAATCTATAGACATAGGCTCATGCTTGATTTGTTTATTAGGGGAATCATGGGAAGGATGATCTGAGGGGGCGTTTCTTGGTTTCTTATTATCACCACCATGAGAACTATGCGGAGATTCCAAATGAGATGGTCGCTTTTGTCTTTGAATGGTAGGACTAAAATTATGATTATCTGACTGATTGCTATTTCGTTTTGTGCTAGTATGAAATTGATTTTGATTATGTGGATGATGTCTTGACTGCTCTGGTGTAGGTCTTGGTTTTTGCTCTGAACAAGCAGATTTCTTCTCTTCTTTTTTCTTTTGATCTTCTGCATGAAAACTATTGCTCACAAATACTGTTGAAGAATCGTCATTTTTACACACTTTTTCATTAACGATATAGTTAAATTTTTTACTTTTATCCACACTGAGATAAATATGTCCAATAACCTCCACATTATCACTGAAGTCTACATTACTGTGACATAAAACTTGTAAGTTACGCACTAATGAATTGATGAAGTTTGATGCCTTGTCTGTATTCATTTTTAAATATTACCTGCAATAAACAATTAGCAACAGATAATTTTATGTCATTATTCAATATCACACTCACTGTAAGATTGAACAAGCTTATGTGACAATAATTCTGTAGGAATTACAAATGCTTCACTTATAGATTCCAAAGAAGATAAGCTTATACAATTATTCAAATTTGGCCAAAGAAAAAAAAAGAAAATAAAGACATGTGCATACAGTCTGTTTGAGAATGCAAGTATATGAAGCTATGTAATAGCCAAAAGGCACAACAACATCGTTCGTAATATCAAAGCAAATACGCAGGAAATTGAAATTAGAGTGATGTAAATGAGGACGAAATAGGACCATTTTCCCTCCAACGGGCATCAAGACAATGAGAATTGGATATCTGCCTAATTCGACATGAACAGATTTGAATTTAGTGAGGAGCACACAACTATCATTTTCAGTACCTTGAATAGTGAAATAATCTTATTAGTCCCAATTTGGTGGGATATAGTAAAAGAAATTCGGCAAAATTTAAAATTCTGAAATTTCTTATATCAAACAACTTCACTTCCGGTTACTCGCTAGTCCACTTAATCCACTTTAGTAGACATTGTTCAAGCACCTGATATTTCCACTTTTGATATAATCAGAAGAATACAGATATTATTCAACACTTCACAGACTGTTTCCTTTGAGGTAAGATCCAAAACCTTGGATATATTATTATTCCCTACCAAAAACTAAAACATTTAGGACTAGAATCCATACTTACAACTTATCGAACCAGCTTCTTTAGAAAGTCAATAAATTTTGTCGATGAGAGATCTAATCTAAATTGTAACTTGATCTGCAACAGCTGTGTGGGGACTGTTCCATGTTAGTATAATTTTTTGCTCGTAGAGTTTTACACAGGCCCTTATGTTGAGAATTTGCTTAATTCATATTAGTCTTTCCAGACCATTGGCCTTGTGGTTTTCGTTTTTTTCATTAGAAAATAGGGGAAAGAGGGGATAAACTCTCACTTATACTCTACTAAACTCGGAGAATTGAATTGTTAGACTATTGTCATTTCACAATATGTCTTTGACTCATGGCATGATATGGTTTTGATCTGAAAAAAGATTTTTCTAAAATATGAACTTTTTCATTGTGGTACTCATTTTCAGCAACCCAAGGACAATGTAAGACGAAGACTTTCTGTAAATTTGAATCACATGATGACCATCGTGTAGCTTCATTCTCCCTCCTTTGCTTTTAGTCACATTTTGTGGAATATTCTTCTTCAAACTTCAAAATATTGACAATGACCTGCCCATCCATATGGATATCTATACTTCATAATATGTTTCACTATGCAAATAACTTAACTAATCTTTCATGCATAAGACTGAAGACATAGCTTTTTTCAAGAAATTGATACAGGAAACATCAAATGTTAAAATGTTTAATGACTTTTTTTTTTTCTAATTTCAGGAATATTTGCATGGTGAATTTCAAAATTTCTTCTTAAAATGAATCAAACTGCGGCTGAAAATTTTATTAACTCCCTTGTGAGAAATCTTCAAGTGTTGTGTCACAGTAATGTAGAGTTTAGAAATGATATTGAGGTTGTGGGACATCTTTATCTGAAAGTTGATAAAACGAAGAAAATAAATTATATTGTGGATGAAAAAGTGTGTAAAAATGATGCATCATCTACAATTTTTGTGAGTAACAGTTATCATTCAGAGAATCAATCGAAGAAAAACCCAGAAAATGAAAATTGTGAAAATGAAAAAGAAACAGATTCCCAATCTTCAAATTCCAACAACTCAAATGCTAAATTTAGCAACAAATCGGATAATAATAAACGTTTGTCACAAAATTTTAATGAAGAAGAACCTGTAAAAAGATCTAAGAAATCTGCAATTCATCATGAAAACTTTTCCAACCGTCGCAGATCAACCCCACAAACATCTGAAACAAGCAGTACCATTAAATGTGAACCAGTAGTGGATTTAAGCAGGGTTAAACGTGAACCCTCCACAGATGAAGATGAAAATTTACCATGTTTCTTTCCTTCTCAAATTAGTCAACATTCCTTATCATCATCACCTACCAAAGGTTTGTATACGTTTCTATGCTTGAAGCTTTAGAGGTTTGTCAAAGCATAGGACAAGTTGACTGGGGACTTTTCAACTTTCTGTCTCCTGAAATATTTGACAAACTGAGATGGAAAAGCTGATAAAGCTTAATTTTAGTACTTAATTGTGTAATTAGGCTTTGTCATCTTGGTTATTGAGATTGCAAATGATTGTTCTAGTTTGAATTGGAAAAATAATAATAAGTTCTCTCTGTACAATTGATTTATTTAGCATTGTTTATATGATTATATCAACTTGTTTTACAGACAGTAATTTCCATGATACTGGTCAAAATATAGACAACCAGAGCATGCATCTATTTCAATCCAGTCAATCAGCAATGTTACCTCATCTACCTTCTCCAGCTATCTCAACATCATCAGTTTATCATTCTACATCAAATAATAATGGTATGTATATATTTATTTAGTGCTAATACTAGTACCTGGATATCTGTTTGTCCTTTAGGAACATATAACTTCGTATTAGTATCATTCCATTGCCTTTTCTACAAACTTAACAATGCTGTCACTTTCAAAATGGTGTGTTTCATTCAGTTTTTTACAGCACTTCAATGGTTGTGACAGGTTTTTTGGGCCAGTGAAAAACTGAACAATATATTGTGCTCATTTGCATATTCAAATGTGGATTTGTGCTAAAATGTCTGTCTGAAAACCTCCGCCCTGTGTACTGTTGTTGCCATATTACTTATAATCCTTAAAAGTTCATTAGTAATATCACATAATTATTTATTTCTTCTAAAAGTTGAATTCTCCAATTAATATTCTAGTGACTTAAAGACAAATTTTAGAGATTGGCATTTTGACATGTTTAATGACAGAAATTTTCATTATAAAACCAAAGTAGAGATGTGAAGTTTTTGAAACGATTAAAAACAATCACAAACAGTCAACAGAATTTTTGGGCAGATGTAAATAGTATTAGTTAAAATGCTATTGTTAAGTTTCAATTTCCAAAACATTTAAATGATCCTGGGATAGATGTGCATGAAAGCTTTTATCTGACTGAATTCGAGAAAAAAACTACTGTTTTTGAAGGCCAACAGGACAGTAACTAGGGTTTTTTCTATGAGGCATAAATCCTGTTGTCTTTAAGGTTAGTTATGCCCTATCATCGCAATGCTTTTGATAGACGTCAATTGGTAACGGATTTTACTATAGACCGCAGATAAGTGCTATATTTGGTGGATATTTATATTTAAAACTAAATTGTCAAATTTGGCATGAGACATTTGACACATTTGCCACATTTGCCATGTATTTATGGCCCTGGCTACAATAATAACTCTGGCGGAGATTCTAGGAATTCATAGCTTGCTGTTAATATTTCAATATTTCTTGGAACATTCATAAAATTTCTTTTAAAAAATATCATCTCACAGGGGAATTTTATCGAACATTAACATTAGTTTATCATTAATAAGTTTTGATAACTCTTTCAAATGGACAAGAGTCAAGCATGATAAAAGTTTGATTTCATAGAAAGATGTAAAAAGCTGCATAAACAAATGTAAGTTCTCTATTTTCTAAAATTAAGTCAATATACTGAACTGAATTACTAATGTAATTAAAAGCATATGTTCACAAAAAAACACAAACTTCAATCTTTAAATTACTGAAAAATTATCATTTGAATTTCAGACCATATGGCAACAGGTTTGAAGTCTAATCGAATCGTAGATTTATTAACAGCAAGTAGTGAAGTTCCCCGACCAACAATCCAAGAGTTATCTCAACGTTTCCAAATTGATGAGGCACAAGTTCAAGGGTATTTAAATGAAAAAAGTCAAATTCTCGATTGTTTAACCAATGTGCAAAGATTGACTGCTTTTCAAACTAAAAGATTATCATTAGAAGAGAAAGTTCAGTTGATTCAAATGGCAGATTTTGATTCTTCTTCAAACTATAGACTTTCTCAATCAGCTTTAGCCAAACAATTTGGAATTAGTCAACCAACAACCTGTCGTATTTTGTCACAACGTGATAAGATATTAGAAGAATATCATCAAAAAACTAAGGTACATGATAATTGTTAATGGGTTTTTGTATATATGTATATTATTATAAATATCCAAAAATATATTTGCTAAAGGGATGAATTTCAGAGCAACGTTTTTACAAAGATAAATATTTTTAATGCAATTTGACCATTGTAGACTATTTTTGACATACTTGAAGAAAATGTCTTTTGGTCTTAATAATGGAAAGCAATTTGTTCCTATAATTAAATTTCATATTCTATTTCTTTCTTAAAGTAAGTTAAGGATCTTGAAAATTACTGTGTGTTTTATATATTTCAAACCCATAAACAAGTACAAATAATTTGAGGATATCTAAGAGTGAAATGAAGGTTTTATCAAACGTAATCAGTTTGTGAATAAAAAATTCTGTTCTGAATACAAAATTCTTTTTGCACAATTTTGGTTTATTTCACAATATTGTATATTTCAGATGTAGACTATATTTTATCGTGTTCCAATGACTTTGAAGATTCTACGTCAGTCTTACAGATTCCTTATCAATTTTCTCCCAATGCGAATAAATCAGCATATATCTGCCCTATCTGTGGAATAAGCTTCAATCAAAAACAGTATTTAAAAGACCATGTCTCAGGAAAACATTTTGAGCCCAAAAATAAATGTGAATGTGGACAAAGTTTTAATTGGAGAACTCAACTTTTAAGACATAAACTTAAGTGTGATTATCTTCACAATTTAAAACTGAAATAAGGAGGAGTTAAATATCTTTACATACTTTACATATGTGTATCAGTGTATTCTAGTAAATGAATTACAAATCTACTCTGGAATTAGTCAAAATATATTTTTTACAGACATTGACTGCTCAATTTATTTTGTGAATCTATTTAATTTTTTTTAGTGTATTTTGAATATTTGTTTGTTTTTGTATACAAGTAATTCATTTGTTATAACATTTGTTATACTTTTTCTGTAGAAAAGTATTCATTCCTATTGAATGTTCAATGTGTCTTATGTTTTCAGCCACAGTGATTCAAAATCCACAATCACCAAGTAACATGTCAAATCCACAATTGTTAGCTCTATTGGGACCAATTCGCCAGAGATCAACTTACACAACAGAAGACAAAATTCATGCTGTGGAACTGGCAAAGAAAGAAGGAATTCAAAAAGTTTCAGAAATGTTACATATTCCAGCAAGCACAATATACATGTGGAGGAAAGCTTTCCAAAAATGATAGATGCCAGGGAGGAAATCCTCCGATAGTTATTATAGACTGATAAGTGATATATAGCTCCATTTCATCTCATTTACATATTTCTAAACAGTATAACAAATTTTGATGTACTTTGTGATTAAAGTCTCCTTACATGCCGAATAGTTATTCACTTCCCATTTCAGAGATTTCCTCCTGTCAGTGATGCAGGTAAGAGGGGCTGATATGGAAAAAGCGTCTAGTCGTTCAGATGGGACAATAAACCGAGCCCCGTGTGGTACAGGCTGTGCACGTTAAAGATCCCTCGACAGTTGTAAATTGAGCAGGAAAGAGCAGGCTAATGCTGCTGTCCTGGCAAAATTTCCCTCATGGCACCCTGCCCGTCTTCATTATCCCACAAGGTGCAGAAAAGTAGGACGTAAAACTCCATTCATTTCATTTCATTTACTTCCCTTTTCAGATCCTCAGCCATTTCTGTAAAGCTGAATCTGTGGCAGAGTGCTAGCGTAACTTTCACAGTCGGCTGTTTGTCAATAACATTTGAAGCACTGCACCCCATTCATTTAGTCAAAAAGACTGTTATTACAGAAGATTGATTTAGTGGACCCGGGACCATGTCAAATATAATCCTAGAACCAAGTGGTAGGCCTAAGGACACATCGATAGAACATTGCTCCCATTAAATGCTTTAGTGTGGTTTGCTGGAAGTGTGGTTTGCTGGAGGAGGTGACTTTTCTATTATTTGGGAAATGTTAAAGTCAATATAGTCTAGCCTTAATGACAGTGTTTGCCAATAATGTATTTGATAGTCTTAACAGTGTGGTGTAAGGGAGATAATTATGAGTTAATTGTAGGATGTAGCCAAATTGCCCGAGTGATTATTCCGGGAGCATACATTTAATATTATATTACTTTCATTTATCAGAATAATAATGAAGTAATTTCACATCTCTTCAGATATGCATGACTCGTTAAAATATTGATTCATCGAAACCAATCTAAATTTTTGTCAAATAATGTTACCTTTGCTCAGGTTTTACATATTATGTAATTGATACAAATAACTAGTCCCTTTATTGACACAAAATTAATTTTCTCTGTTGAGGAATTTGCAAGTGATTTGCATTTAAATACGATTTTGGTAAGTCAAGTGGAGATTTATTTGCATTACCAAACTCTGTGTGCAGTCATACATATATCCTGATTGTTATTTACCTTTTCTCAAATCCAATAATAGTTATAGGTGCCCAGGCAGGTAGGCTAAACTGGCAAATGGTTGTAGTATGGTACCATAGTCATATCTCTAGTCTGTAAAGGATTTCAAGCAAGGTCTTGTCGAGGAATACTAATAGAGAAAGAATAGCCTACAAATCATGGCAAATCAATTACTGTTCACACGGGTGTGATTCATAACATGAAGACTAACCTATCTGACAGCCAACTTTATCTTTAGGCATTAGTTATCAACACAATCGATGTAGGTTTTTCTGTATAGTATAGTATCTATTACCATATATTCTACCTAAAAATTAAGTGGGCTGCTTATGTTTATGGTTTGAATCAGATCCAGATGAGCAGAAAACTCTTTGCTCAACTATAACCTATGCTAATGTTATTGTTGTTACCAAGATGCTAATGCATTATGTAGCCTATAAATGCTTCATCAAAGGATATCCTATGTTCACAAGTTCCTGTGATTGAACCTATGCCTATGGTGGGACCTTAGTAGAAATATTTGTTTATATAAGGTTTATAAGGACAGAAAGAAAGAAACAACTATATTTTAGTTTTTACTTTGGTTCATAGTTAAGGATCCTTTCTACCAGCTGGTCCCTGGCAAAACCTCTTGGCATTGATCTTTCCTGGATTATCCAAACCCATTTATTCAAGGGTGATTTTTCAGATTTCATATATTTTGGTTATATTTCAGAATATATACCAAGATTTCATGTTGTGATTGTAAAATTATTCTTCAAAATGAATGAAAAAACGGCATCAGCATTTATAAACTCTTTAGTTAAAAATCTACAAGTGTTGTGTCATAGTGCTGTAGATTTTAACCAGAATATTGAAGTAATTGGACATTTATACCTCAACATTGACAGCTCTAAGAAAATAAACTATATAGTGAATGAAAAAGTGTGTAAAAATGACAATTCTTCAACGATGTTCGTTAGTAATAGTTTTCATGCTGAAGATGCCAAACAGAAAAAGCAGAGTGAACCACAACCACCTCAACCACCGACAGAAAGTCCTAAAAAGACACATCAGGAACGACACAATAGTCATTCAGAACATAGACACTTAAACTCAGGGAACAAGGACTTCAATACACATAGACCCACTGTTGAAACTAGTGTTCAGTATCAAAATCGTCATAAACGATCTATGAGCATAGATGAAGCTCATTTTAGTGCCAAACTTACAAAGAAAGACTCTAATGTGAACCAGCATTATAATCAAACTATGTTTTCACCACAGCATGTCAGTTCCTCAATGGGTATAAAAAGTGAAAAACCTGCTATAGACTTGAGTTTAGTGAAACAAGAGCCGGGTGCTAGGAATCATGATTCTCCCTCTACCCAATGTTTATACTCGTCTAATAATAAATCCCCATATCATTCAAGTCATAATCAAACTCCCGCTTTTCGTCAACGTTCTGGTAAGTATGATGCATGTACTATTTCATCTCTTTCTTAGATATCGCAAGATATTGACTTGTTCAAATTCGAAAGGTCCGGTGATTTTAAAGGAGCAACTTTTCTGAAGTTAATCTGACCGTTTATTTTTTTATTTTTGCTTTATAAAAAAACTTTATTCTTTTCAATTGTTAAGTAGAAACATGGATGTCAAGGTCATTTGTATCGCATTAAGGTATATTTTAAGTAGTTATAACAGACAGCTGAATGAAAACATAAGCTACAAGCCAGTTATTTTCGAATTCAAATTCTAACAAATTGACTTAAGTCGATAGAAAAAATTAAATTGTATTTTATCCAATTCAGCCTCAAGTTCTAGTCTTCATCAACAAAGTCCGAGAATACATGAAGGGGATCCTGGTCCAGATTTAGCGAGTATAATGGAAAATACTGAAATCTATCCTGTTGGAATGTTACATATCTCAGACAGCTTACGACTTCCTCAGCAGTCCAATGTTTTACCATCCATATCAACATTAACTGGTTCTAAATTTGCCTCACCATCCATATCTACAGCGTCTTCATTACCTACCAATCCTCATGGTTTGTATTTATTTTAAATTTAAGAAAGTGTTTCTGCCAGAACATTAATGGGGCCTGAGCTCATCTGCGAAGCCATTTTATATGAGATCTGTATTAGGGAGTGCTCTAGAAATGGCCTCAAACACTTGTTAGACTTGTTTTGTTGGTCTACCTGATTTTAATTTCTAATAGAAATCCCTATGTAAATAAACAAATCCTGTAAAACCTAGAGTAAGTGATAATCGTTGATCAAACTGTTGTTGTTCATTTAAATAAATATATATAAGCTGACATATAGACTCCATGCCTAAAAGAACTGGAGCTCAGATAAAGCTTAAGAGGGATTGTAAAGAGGTTTTCTAAATGTTTCTGTTTATCAGTGATACTAATCGCAAAAAAGGCTTGTACAACCTAGTTTTAGGAAATTGCAGGAACCACAGATGTCTGATCAAAAATTAGAATGATGCAAATCACACATAACAAATTTAGATAACCTTTTAACAATCCCTTTAATAATTATTATAATATATATAATTGACCACTCACAGTTCATTAAACATCTTTTAGCAAATATATTAGACTTAACATTTTTGTACATCATGTGTAGGTTACATGGCTGTTTTATTAACTGATAACAAAAAAATTAAATTCATTTAAGTTGCATATTCACTTTGGCATGAAAATTCTTTTCTAAAAAAGAGTATATTTACTCTACTTTCAGTTTTGACACCAAGACAGAAAGGTCAAAGAACAGATTTAAAGTTAGATGATAAGATAAATTTAATAATGGCAGCCATGTCACCTGATAAACCCAAACAATCAACATTAGCAGCACAATATGGTGTTTCACAGCCCACCATATCTTATATACTACAGCGTAAAGACCAGTATTTAGCTGAATACCGTACCTTTCAAAACAGAATCACAACTGAAAATAATGATACACCTCTAACATTTGTAGATACAAATACACTTTCTTTAGATACACAATTTGATTTTGATAATTTATAGTCTAGGTAAGAATTATTTCACAATAAACTGCCTTCAACAGTCAATATGCTATGTATAGGCAATCAAATATATGATCTATACATCTGAGGATGATTCAAAACATAAAATTAAGCAGTCAATTTCACAGACAGTTTCATTTAAGCTAAGTTATTGAGCTATGCACATCAAGATCTGAAAATATACTTCCTGTGCATAGATTCAGACCTGGATTAACACAGATATCTATCTAGAGATAGACTATAGTAATGAACACAAAATATGTCTCATAA